ATTAAGACGGAATGGGAAATAAAAATTTTCAATTAACTAGAACATTGTGTGTGGGCTGATGATGTCTGTCTGGATTCAACACAGAACTTGGCACCGAAGTGCAGCAGTTCGAGTTACCACGTTCCAAATAACACACAAAGGTAGACAAGAAAATGAGGGAAGAGAATCAATAGAGTTTTGACAAGTATAAGAGTGAAACAGAATGAGTAATGGTCGAAAGGAATATGAAAGATTAACAGAGACGGAATACATCTGTGCCATTGACAACAATTTTGAGCCATGTCACCTATTGTCTCCAGCCATTGATTCTTATAGTCCCGAGGGCCCCAACCTGGAAGTCTGCATCTCCCTACCTGACTCAGTTTAACTGTCAAGGATTTCATGGATTGATGCCATGTTTTTGTTTGGCCACCACTTACTCATTTTCAACCTGCACCTATATCAGCTAGTAATGCCCGTCGGAGGAGGCGATGGTTAGGCATGCGCAGCACGTGACCTAGCCATTTCAATCTATGTAACTTTATAGCCTCTTCGATTGATTTTCCCTCTTTGCCCAACACTCTACGCCTAACGTCAACATTACTTACCTTATTATGCCACCTAACGTGAGAAATAGATCGTAAACATCTATGATCAAAAACAGACAACCTTTTCATGTCTTCAACTCGCATCGGCCATGTTTTAGAGCCATAGAGAAGGACGGAGCGAACTGCTGAGCAGTACACACGTCCCTTGGTTGATAGCCGGATGTCACGCCTGCGCCAGAGACGGTGTAAGTTAGCGAAAGCAGCCCGAGCTTTTTGGATCCGTGCTGAGATTTCGTCGCCAATCAGTCCGTTGGTGCTGATACAACTTCCCAAATAGGTGAAGTGGTCAACATGTTCTATCACTTCACTCCCTATCACTAAGCTAGGAGTTGACGTAGCCCAGTCCTGTAGCAGCATCTTACATTTTACAGGGGCAAATCGCATGCCAAACATACGAAGATTGCTGCTCAAGGTGTTCAGAAGACTGCATTTTGTCAGTATCCTCCCCTAACAGGACTATGTCGTCTGCATATTCTAAGTCCATAAGACTATTCCCTGGTAACAAGTCGATTCCTAAGTCGTTAAGTTCATATGATGATGAAGTTAAACAGAAAATGGGAAAGTGGACATCCCTGAAGGACACCACTGGTTGTTATCAATACAGATGACAATTCTCCATAAGCTCTTACACGTGAGTTTAAGTAGTGCCTTGATTAGTGCAATGTACTTTCTTGGCACTCCCTTCACAGTCAGTGGGGGCAGCTCTTATGGTCTAATGTTTGGCATACGAATCTGTTTTGGTGGACTACGCTCGGACGAGAAATAAAATAATAGTTTGAGGCTTACTTCTGACCACATTGAAAAATGTTGTGTTATTATTATGGTGGTGGTATGCGTTTTCTTCCGATTTAAATATAAGCGTATTTTGAATGTGTGGGGAGAAAATTAAGGAAATAAGATAACGATTCAAGGTATCTTATCAGCAACTGTGTAGGTGAATGTTGCTATTTCGATGTATCTCACCATACTTTCGTTTTTCGCCAGTTGGTGTCACATTATAACTTGAGTGTTCTTTGTTTTTCTAGGCTATATTTATCAAAAACTTGATGTGATGGTAATCGTAGAAGCTTAGCTGACATAGGTAGCTAACTGACCAACTAGTACTACATTGTCAATCATGACTGTTGCTTGAATTTTTCGTATTTAATCAGTCAACTACCAGTTCCTATGCGTTCTGGTTTTACACGCCATTCATATTATGTCTACCTATGTGGTTGGGGAGAGAAATTTCTACTGTATGTTTGTGAATTTCACCTATGTGTGTCGATCGAATATTCTCTGCCTGTGGATGATTGGTTTAAACTGAATATTCACTATACAATAGTCATCCTAAGACGGTCAATATATATATATATATATATATATATATATATATGTAAAGGTGTGTGAAATTTATATCTCTATTCATCATGGTAGTAGTGGCTATGGTTATAACACCAACAACAATAGGAGTTCAACAGGTGTTAATATTCTCTTATTCTCATACTTCCTATTTGTGCTTCGATTTGCTATTCTGTACGGTCATTCCCTGTGTTTGGTTGGTTTGCAAGCTTTACCAGTTTGTGTTGGTAAACTAAGGAATTTGAGTTTGTTTGCTTATATATATATATATATATATATATATATACGTATACTGCTCAGTGACCTGATTTTATTTCCAACCATTTTCTAGTCCGAAAAGTATCGAACGCAATTCACTTACACATACATACACTGTATATATATGTATATATATATATACATATATACATGCACATGCTTATGTGAATATATATATATATATATATATATATATATGAGCTGATAGCTAGTCTGATTATTCAATCGATAATCTTAACTTCCTCCTCGTAATTGACGATAGAGAGTCTATTAGAGAATTCTTTATGGGAGAAAAATATATTTGGTTAATCATAATGAACACACTTGTTTAATCACTGGTATAATAATATGCAACTTTATATTGTCTGCTGTAATACGTTTATTACTTCATTGGGTGTGCCGAACAATAACAGCAACAATATAACAACATTGAATATAAAGATAAATGCGGAAAAATAAATGTAATTCAAACAAGAGGGAGCTTACTTAAAATCCATACTATCTAAAAGCGTTTCCTAATATTCCTGTATACTTTTATGGAGATATTGGTGATTTACTTGATGATAAAAGCTGAATATCATTTTAACTTTGAGGAATCGTTCATTGGTTTAAGCAGTCGGTTTTCAGTCAAATGGTTTCCAGATTTTCGAGTTCCCCCCCTCCTCCCTCAACACACTGGGTAGAATATCTTCAGTGAAATTTGTCAAGCACTAGCTGCTTTGTTTCAAAGTGTAAGTATGCGCGGTGGATGGCGAAACGAATTCTTTTCAGAATGTTACGATGAAGTTATTTGTTGAGAATAACTAAAACATTAACCGGAGAGCAGGATTATACTCTTTATATGACTTAACACTTAGAATAGTTCAAGATTGTGCAAGTTTTTCATCATCCCTATACTTATCTCGTCTATGTATCAAACAGATTTACTAAGTGGCATACATTTCTGCAAATATGCAACAGTTTAAACTGCCAAGATTCATTAAAGCAAACACTAATTTTATTTTGAAATCATCAATGAATTAGGTGTTAATCCTAACCAAGATTCAAGCTTTTTATTTTTATTAACCTTAATACCACCTTGAAATGTATCTATTGGTTGAACAAAGAGAAAATAAGCCAACCATCTTTACAATGAAACGTTTATTATGCCGATAGTTATATTTAGATGAAAAGAGGTGAAAAATTGCAATTAACGCCTATCGATTTAGAACTTACTGTAATTGTACTTTCTTCCCCATCCACTTTTCTATTTTCTTATACTTTCATTCGAAATACCAATGATCTTCGTTGACTCATCAGATTATCTGTTATTGGTTCTTATGTATTAACTTTCAAATAATGTTACCAAGTCCAAAGCTCTGTTTCAGCCTAGAAAGTCTTCACACAGTTTCTTTATGTGGTACGTCATGCGTGAATGTATCTTTATGCGTAGTTTAGAATTTATATTCCATTTTGTAAAACCTGTTAGTAGCTACATTATTGATTTTTGTATCAGCCGTCACACTAGCTAAAGAATTATTTAAAAACCCAGAGAATACTGAACATACTGGTTTGAAATTCTTCAGCAGTGAGCCCTTTTGCACACCACTAGGAATCAAATAAATGACCTTAAATTGACTAAGTGAATCACTGAGTTGGAGATGACTGTAACTGATTTGTAACTTTTGTAAATTTGTCAACTAGTGCCATCGTTGAGCATCTCTATTTCTCACTCGACATAGTGAACTCCATCGATTACGACTGTAAACAAATGAATTCATGAATACCCTTTTTCTAATAAATCATCCATTATTACTATCTGATTGCTTTGGCAAAGTTCAAACTTTCAACTGACTGATTAGAAAACCGGACTACCTACAGAAATGAATCTATAGCTTTACGGGTTAAAAATGTATCATAAATTCGTGTTGAATCATCGGCCTAGTTATCTCTCACAGGATGAGATGCATTTCGTGGTGTTACTATATTTTCCGTTGCTTTGATTTCTATGCTATATATATATTCTCGTAGCCGCCTGCTTAAAACTTGGGCTACCAAAAGCTTCCACCTCTCTATTCCATGTATTTTCTCTCCTTCAGTTTGTTTTAATCGCCTGAGAAATTACCTCTAATGGGATTATCTACTCTTGTGTGTATTAAAAATGTTTACAAGCTTCTAATACGTACGTTTCTATTAAACTTGAGGAATGACCTGATTGTGGGTGGCAACTTGTTCCAATACTTGAGATAACTGTTCTTCAGTTATGTCTTTGGGTCTCAAAATGTACTTCTGGATATCTTGCGAATGACTTTCAACCAGATATCCTGGATTTATTGAAGGAGACAAAGCAGATATGTCATAGTGGAATGATTTGTGCTTCAGCTCAGAAAACATTGTGTCACATAATATTCTGTCAGTTAATATTGTACGAAGAGAAAATATCATTCACTAAACTCCTCTAAAAATTCTGCACTTTTTATAAATACTGTCCGAAATAAACATATTATTATTATGTAATGGGTGACGGTTAAAAAAGATGAAATGAAAGGTACTGACAGGCAGAATTTGAACCAGGCTTCTGCAGACTACTAGTCTGAAGGATCATCGCAACTGAGTTACGACAACTAACCGCTAACTGGATCTTCATTTCACTGCAATCGTCACCAGTAGTGCCCGGCTCTTTTGTGGACCTCCTGGCTATTAGCTGGTTGAGCGCTCCAACTAGTAGCTCGGAGGATGTTGGTTCGAATAGTGCCATGGTCCGGATTTTCGCAGATAACCGTTTCATCATTAATTATATTTCTTGCTTACATATTTTTTCCTCCTACTGTCTAGTATCCGAGTTTATGAAACATTGTGTGCTGATTAATCCTACTAATGTCAATGGTCATGAAAATATCAGCACTTCTACATCTATTGATGATTCACCATTTCCACAAAGTTTACGAAGACCAACAACAGACACAGCTATTAATCATTATGACGCAAAAAGACCACGTCTACACAGGATCGCAACAAACAATTGTTATTCGACAGTAAGTCACTGTATTTCTTCATTTAGTGCTCACTATTGTCTGGCACTAGGGACTGGAGTTGTTTAGAGTCCCAGTGAAAACGTCATGATCGGTAGGGTCGGGCGTGAGAATAGACACTCACCAATGACAGTGACACTGTCGATATGTTGCAAATGAACAGATGTTGCAATTTATGAGTCATTGGATCCCGACCCATTGACTGGATTGTCTACAGGTTCAACTTGTAACATAGAGATGCTGGTTTCGATTGCCGACACTCGTTGCTGGGGAGTCCCAAACTAGGATGAAACAACTGTATTGTTCCTGTCGATTTTCAGCTGCTCTCTAACTGATGTGTCAGTTAACTATCTGATGTGAAGTCAATCAAATCCGTGTACGCTAATACTTGTAAATACTTTCATTCTACTACTGACAAAAGTAGCAATAGTAAAAGCATACTACAACTGATTAATAAAAGAAAAGATGACAATTTGTTAATGCGTTTAGTGTTCAAGTTGAATAGGCTATTTCGCTAAGATTACTCTGTAGAAAGTATAACATGCATGTCAAATATGCGCAAGACAGTACCAACAATAAGGAATCTAAATCATCAGTAGTAATTCCATACAAGGAAGGAACCTCGGAAACCTTACGCAGAATTCTTAACAAGGCAGGCAGGAATAAAAGTGTCTGGCATTCAAACCCACAAACTCAATTAGAAGCTTTGTGGGTTACAGGATCAATCCTGTGGAGCCTTTAAAACAAAACAATTTGGTTTATCCAATACCCTGCTGGAATGATTGTCAGGTCAAATACAAAGGTCAAAGTAGTAGAACAGGGGCAGTCAGACTAGCCGAACATAAAAACCTAACAAAATCTAGATTAGTTGACCCGAATAAGATAAGAAATCTAAAGAATAGTTCAGCTATAGCACTACTCACTACATGCAATTACACACAACCATACAATAGGATGGATGGGATAGGATGACAGTTTTAAAATCTAATATCACAGCACGGTGGAGGGAAAGATTAATAACAGAAGTTTTGTTTATCGAATCAACTGCAAATACGTGTAATAGGAATGATTCAACACCTGTCCACTCAGATATCTGGAAAATTCTATTACCCCAATGACGACAAGTAGGAGAGAACAAAGAAAACTATAAAACTCAAGTTTCAAAGTCGTGTGATTACAATTGATATGATTATGAACAATAAATTTTGTTCGAAACGTCATCCAGTAAATAATACTTCCACTGTGTGCTCCATCTAATACACAAACTTATATGGAACTAAAATGAAACAGAAGTATGCGGGAGAAAGAATAAACATTTGGGGAGAAAGGCGAGAATTTGATGGACCCAGGAGAGTTCAGCAAAACTGAGCGGATCTATACTGTTGAAAGTGATTTCTCGCCATTCCAATTAACAATCTCTAGTCATCGATTTTTAACGTGTCGAGTACGCCAACTATCCAGGTAGATAACACAATCTCTACGTGACCGGCTGAAACCAATATTCAAATTCTTCATAGTTTGATTCCATTTTTAAATTTGACAGCCCCTAACTATTTACCAACTTTATCCCATATCAGCTAACATCCATCGATAATAAGATAGGTGGGTGATTGCTTGGCAGGCACAACGTATGTACCCTGGTCACCTCAATTAATACAGTTCCAGAATTTCATCTTCTAACTGTCCTTGTTTACATAACACTGCACCTTACTGCAATATTGCTCTTCTTATTTCAATATACTTTCTATTTTTGCTTCTTTTTTGCATACTAGGGCTCAGAGTATATTGATTCATCATCAGAAGGCGGTCATTCATCACAAATAACGTCTATCTCTAATGCATTAGATTTAACTGAAGAAGAACAACTCCAATTGGCTATAGAAGCATCAAAAAAGGAAGCGAATAAGCAATTGAATAGCTCTCAGAATTCGGTATTATTGTATTGTTGCTTTCATTCTTATTTTATTCTCAATTAGAGTGATGTATGTCTTCACATACTGCTTTTAAATGTGTCCTGTTCTCACCATTAACTTATCTAACTATTCCCCTTCCTAAGTACTAATGTTATTACTATATGCACTTGCATTGGGAGATGTGCGTGAGGCTCATCGGCTTAAACACTCAACTTTCAAAGAATAGGTCCTGCGTTCAAATCTTGGTTTTTCTACTTCCGACTATTTAGTTTGCTAATATCATCATCCCTCATTGATACTGCAAATGTGTAGCTCATAACCTGGTTACATCATAAAGTCGCTTGTTCTGAGTAACTGGTGTCCTTAGCCAGTGTGGTATGTAGTACTGTTTCTTTACTTTGGAGTTTAATTTACTCAATTGTCGTTTTAGTGTATAAAGTCGAATATGCAAATGTGAACAGTGTCTTTTGTTTTTAGTGTTAATATGTTATCTAAATATCTGTCAAATGTGTGTGTTTTATGCACAACATTTTTACTCCATCATACTACTTTTCAGCTGTAAGGCATGGCAAGTGAAAGTAAAATACATGCAATTATCACATTCTTTCCTTCACAAAATGTCTTCTTTCAGTCGCTTACATTAGGCGGATTAACATTACAAATAGTGTTCATCATGAGGACAGAGCTTTATTTAAGGTGGCGGAGAGGTAGTTGTGAAGCCTCATTGAGGCAGCAAATAATGTAAGCTGAAATAGTAGGACTTAGCTTCCAGGGAATTAGGGGTTGTCAAATCGAAACACCTGAAATCAATTAACCAAGTTATATCAGCAAAAAGTACTGACTACCTAATTGTGGTGGTATGCTAAGAATACAATGGCTAGAAATTTGATAACATATTTGAAAGTTTTCCACATTTGGTAATGTTCTCACTCCCTTGTCATCTGCGTTTTGAAAATGCTCACTAATATCTTGCTTTATATATGTATATATACATATATATTGGTGATGCCTAGGTAAACTGGGATTGTTTTTCGAAGAGTTTTTTCTTCCCTCTCTCACTAGATTTTGATTTACTTCGTTAATATATGTAATTTATTTTGTATTTTGTGTGCGATGATTGACTGATTAAAGGTGAGATGAGATTCTGGTTCGTAACAGGCAGACAGGATTGGAATCAGAAGCCTCTGAATTACACTAGTATGGAGCCTGTAATCAGCTGGTTGTTCAAAATCCTTGACTGCATAGAAATATTTCCTTCACTTTGACTCATTATACACTTCAGTAATAACGGTGTGTGTGTGTGTGTATCCTGACCCAAGATTATCTCAGATAGATAGTCTCACAATGGAATACCTTTGCATTTTACTCGACTGGTATATAGTCAGTTAGTTGTTTTAGAGATTAATCAAATCTGAATTAAAAATCCACTACAGAAGATTATATTAATTATCTGAGCGATTGACAGTCTGTATACTTGACTGCTCGTTCATTTCAGAATATATCTATTTACGCTTGATGAACTCCTGAGTCCATTAGATTCTGTCGTTATTTTCTAGATGCTTATTCCTTCTCCTGTAGATTTCCGTTCATTCTAGGTCTCTGAATTTGTTTCTCTGTCTGTGTATGGTATAGAGTGTGGCAATTTGAATTGCTACGTTGAAAATTCAGTCGGTTTACTTGATAACTATTCAACTTGTTTATTATTTATACTGTAAAAAAAGTATGTGGGAGAAATACATTCTTCTAATGGACTGTTAAAGTATGCATAGCTTTACACGTCGATGTCATCATTCACAACGTTTATTATTTGTAACCCTTCTCTGCTTCGTTTAAAATAGCGCTTATGGTATTTGATCTCCGCTATTCTTTGTATCTCATTCATCTCAGTGTTACAAAAAATATAAATATCATCAGTTGTTAAATATGAATAAACTTATCAAATCTCTTAAGTATTATAACGTTGTTTCATGAAATATTCACATGATCTGTGGATAATTTATTCACTTCACATTATATTTTACTATGTTATTTAAATATCAACTTACAATATCGGGATACTAAGAGATCCTCGATCACATAAAAAGAATTAAAAGAATATTATATGAATGATTCTGAAATAATATCATGGAAACTGGCTAGTATATGCTCATCAAAAAGCTTTCATTAATTCTTGTTTGCTCTCAGAGAGACTGGAAAGAAGACAAGGCCAACATATTCGCCATTGTTTACTATTCTTTGACATATCTGATAGCATCTCCCTCCAAGCACTGATTCGGACTGTCTCTTTCAGATCCGCCTCGAATAGTCGTGATGCTTTAACAGATGCTCGCCTAAACACGTCTCTCCTGCATCTTGTGGCACAATATCATGCACTTACCCTTCCCTCCTACAGTTTCTACCCAGTCTGTGGGATAGCAAAAACATTGAACGGTAATAATAATGCGAGTGGTAGATATCGGAGCTGGTATCTCAGGATGAGATTATTCCATTGATAGACGGTCTCCACCTTGATTAGACACACATCGCCGGACCTCGGAATCAATAACATGATGATGCCACCGGGTGGAAGCCATCCTGTTGAGACAGCCACAATCGAACGTACAGAGTCGTTACACATTCTTAGCTCTGAGAAGGTAGGTGTCACAGGCGTAAAGCAAAACTCAACCTTTGATGGCCAGACTAACGTTGCCACAACTCCATTTTATGTTGCCACGAATTTTCGAGTAGTTTATCTTTAGTTGAACATTTCCGGATAATGTGCATATATTGTGCCGGATTGCATTCAAATCTTCCAAATTAATTTATAATAAGTTGTTAAAAACGTGTTAACGCAGAGTAGTGTTCACACAATAAAATCGTATAGCATAACTCATCGATATTCCTTCGTCTTCACTTCGTTGTGCAATAAACCGATATTTTATAATGTTTTGTGGGGTTCGGGTCAAACTTGCAATGAAGATTATGAAAAGCATCCATTTGTGTAATGCTAGGCGATTTGTGGATTGGTCGATTCACGGTGGTGTCAACTCTTCACTTTTGCTATTTTGTGATTTTATTCTATGCTATTTACACTACAATAACTTCACTTAAATGATTCAGAGGATATTTTAATTTTCCGAATTTACATTCAGTTCACCACAGATAGTGAGATAGCTATCACAGATAACGAAGAAGAAGTAGTTGACGCCGACAACTGCCACACTAGTTTAGGCGAAGCTTCAGATCCTGATATTGACCGAAGCAGAGTTCATGATAGTGATTTGGAGGAAGACTGTATCCTTGTTGATTCTAACGGGACAAGTAGCTCTTCATTTGTTTCTTCAACTACAGCAACTATAACAGCAAGAAGACCTCTGAGACCTGAGAAATCACTTAATGAATCTATATCAAATTGCAGCATAACATCTAATGTTTTGCGTGAATTACCGTCTCCTGCAGCTGATGAACTAGTATTTGAATTGCTTATCCGTTTACCTGATGGTACTCGGGAGATTTATCGACTTCCACCTACTCTCAAGTTACAGGTAATGCTAAACATTATTGTTTGGACTATCTTTGTTTTTACCCAACAAGTAAATTTTGTGTGTTTTTCTTATTTTACTTTTTTTCGTTTTTTAATTGGTGGTTGGTATTCATTCTGTGTGTCGTTATAGTTTTATCACTTCTCCACCAACCAATTTTCCTTGTTCATCGTATAAAAAGATGTTGACTATCAAGTATTTGTATCTCAATAGAAATAATAACAAAAATAATAAGGATGATAATTTCCTGATATGCATATTTCTTATATAGTGGATACAAGGTATGTTCGACATCTGATCACCTTGACGAACTTTGCACCCCATACCCAATTTACTAAAAGTTCGGCTAGTAACTGAGTATTAAACTGGGAAGATGTCAAACAACGGACAACTTCTCAGGTCTTTGTCTGTCGTCCTTCACAGCTGTATCAGTCGATGAAATAATCGATCTTTCGCCTCAAAAGTAATATATTAATTTTAACATCAGAATACAGTTGAATAAGTCATCAATGCACACAATTTGATACAACTTCTCATATATTACTGGTGTTCAGCGCACTGAAACTGAACTACTGTATTTTCTGTTAGTAAATGTGGTGCGGAAATGTGGCCTATTGGCTAAATCACTTAGCTTTCAGTCAAATGGGTCATAGGTTCTCATGTCACTCAACTTATCGAATAAATGGGTAGTACAATCAGCTCTTACACACAATAAATATGTGGTTTTTAACGTGGTACATGATATATGTGTTCTGGCTAGTTGAGTTTAAACAAACACGCTATGTGTTGTATCCTTGACTGTCTCTCTTGAAGCAGCATTAAGAACTAGTGTCAAATGTTTTCCTTAGGACTCCGAAAAGGCCATGTGGATGTTAATGTCAAGATGTATAAAAAGGGAAGATTGTGGAAATCCATGTAATACACTACTCAGTATAGACACTCCTCATTGAGTGTCACACATTTGGCTGTACTGATAATAGTATTGTGGGGGTGTGATGCAGACAATGTGCACCAACGAAATGTTATTCTCACATGTTCCCACAGTTCAATTCGTCGCTAACATCAAAATACGATATATCTATTCGAACATTCTATTTGATGTTAGAGACAGAATACTTTTCCACAGTTCACTACTGCATTGGCAACAGAATACTATGCATATTTGAACATTCTATTTCATGTTGTTTGATACAAACCGAAATCATACGCTTAGTGATTAGTTAACGAATATAAACTTTAGATATATAAAAGTGTAACTGTTTCCCATCCTACGGATATTGAATTATCAGTCTTTACATGTGCAGTTTAGTCTAGGAGAGATATGGGCTATATGGATAAAACTTGGACATTGTGGTAGAGCATAATTCCATTATGGATAAAATTCTTATTTTGATAAGGTCACACAGTGTTATGCAGTAATATTTACTGATTACCCCGTTTCGAGCACAATTTACCACCACTCATAATTATATCAAGGTACTCACATAACTTTCTTTCGTTTATATACATGAGTAAAAATTCATTAGACATATGAATAAAGTCAATATAAGACTTGCCTTAAACAGGAAGGGAGATAAAGTACATTTTAAACTATTATTAATGTTTTCAAGGCCCATCAAGATACTGGCCAGTGATTTAAGAATCTAAATTTTTAGCGACTTGATTAGCTGTGGAAGTTGAAGACCAGGTAATACTGGGATTTGTGTTTTTTCTAATGATAATTCATCGCAAGATATAACTGATCACTTGACTTCTATTCCCAAACGTGGAGAAGGACACAAAAGGCAACAGACTGAGAAGGAAAATATTTGCTGCTCCAGGAGAAAACCTGTAAGATAACAAATTGCACCGGATTATGTATTCATTTCACATGTTCTGGCTAGATGGCTTATAACATTTAAAATCCAGTGATATAACACTTAACCTTAGGTTTAGGTTGAATTTGTATTTTCCACGTCACTTGGGTGGGAAACACTGATTCATAATGTGCAGCTTCCTGTTCTGACAGGTTGTTCTCTTTAAATTGACACCATCAATTAGTTGTGTAACATCTGCATCCGTTCAATGCAAGTAGTTCCGGGGGAAACAAAGCATTGATGCATGCTGTCTTCATCTCTAGTTTTTTTTTCCGATATGCACCATTGATTAGTGAATATTTGTTTAGTTTTTTTCTTATTAATAATATCTGTTTCCTCTATTTTCACTCTCCAACTTCACTGCTCTGGTGTTGTCTGTTGAACGTATCTATGTACGAACTGAAGGATCTTCATTCATATTTCAAATATCGTGGCTATCCAACAGATCGATATGAAGTTGTTCGCATTCATCCTTATCTGTGTCTTTCAGCCATGCCACAATCAATTTCGTTAGCTGTTGCTGGTTTACGCACAAAAGATACCTTGTTTATTCAAGAGCGTTGAAAACACACATCACTGTACACATATTATTATTATTATTATCATTGCTGTTATTACTACTATAAATGTTATCATTATTATAGACACAGATCCTAATGCGTTTATATTCGGTTATCATCGTTTTTCTTTCTCCCTCTTATCTCAGTCCGTCTGCGTTGTGTGTGCTTTGACAATAATCAAAGGTCTCTCATATTATATGCTGGTTATCTCTGTTTAACTCCAATTAACAAATGATGACGATAACAATAGTAAAACAAAATGTTTATGCACTACACACATTATGCCGGTGTCTGATATATATATATATATATATATGCATGGGAGTAATAGTAATCTCAGAATCTCTGTGTTTGTATATTCATCTCAAAAATTTGAAGATGTAAAGAAAAATGAGTATTCTTAGCCAGAAAAGCGGCAGTTTGATTCCTTTTTCGTCCTTTTTGTTCCATTTAAACGTTTTCCTCAAGTAAATCATTGAGTTCCTCCCCTTTTTCTTTGTTCTCTTGTTCATCTTATAAGTTCACGTCTTACTGTTCTTCTCGTTGTACGAAGTAAAGATATGTAGATGTTGTTTATCAAATTTACTGCAAAGATGATTGTATTTTATATGAGAGCTAGCAGCCAGCTAGCCACCTATTTTTCTTGTTAGATAAGTAGGCAGGTAGGTAGGGTATACTTTCCTCATCATTGCGCCTCTACTGTTGACTATGAAATATAACGGTGTTCACCCGTTGACCATGCAAACAACGTTTTTTGGATATATATGCATATGTATTCACGTTAAATACATTTATACTGGAAAAATGTTTGAATTCTGCTCTATAATTTATGTTAGTTTGTGTTTAAGTGTGTCTGTGTGCTATGGTGATATTCATGTGCATTATTCCGACCACAATAATATTGATAAAGCATTATTATCATACAGATTTTAGGTTTTTCTAAGGATTTTAATCAATTCTTATGTAGGTTTTGTCACTAAACAGCACAACAGTTAGAAAGAGTGTCATTGATGAATACCATGGGTCAGAGTGCACTTGACAGTTATTTAATCCTAGTTTGGTGTTCCACTGTAGCGCGCACCAACGAGATATCGAACCTTAGGCCTTCAGGTTGTGCAGTAAAGCTGCAATTAGTCTGTATTCAATGACTCGTGAACTCTAACTTCCATCTATTCGTAATATAGCACCACTTCCAGTCAGCATCAGCGGCTGTGCCTCCAAAATTTGAAATTAAAAAGATGTTAGCTCGTGTCATTTTCGACATCTATTTTGTTGTTATGATTGTTATTTCCGTTTCGTGCATATGTGAATCTTGTAGCTTCAAGTAATTGGTTTTTTAAGTGTATTTTTGTCAACTAGGTTAGGCCACTGTATTTCGTGTAATATGCACAAGCTAGAGGTATTTACGGCTATAATAACATTTGTAAGGTATATCAGATAGATTTGTTTTATTGTAATTTACATAATGGAGGGAGCTAATAATACCTGGTTAGCTCGACGGTAGTTCAACGGTAAAACACTCACTACCCGCGCATGGTTCAATCCTGGTCCGATGCTTGTCTAGTAGTGAGTCCATTATAGAGGGAAGGTTGGGTACGAAGCCAGCATCCTCACCCCGTGGAAGCAGCACTATTGCTACTGCGACTTCTCAGGTAGGTATGAAGTCCAGTGTCTCATCCGTAGCGTAAAGGAATAAAAAAAATGCTCAGAATTAATTTATTTGGAACTGGATGTTAATTGATAAGTTAAATGCGTAGTCTGATATGTCACACATCACTCCACTTGTGTAGAACTTAATATTTTTATATCCGAGATGAAGGTTTCTCAGGCATTCTTACCTGCTTCAATGCACCCAATTAGTTCTCTACTAATTTTTGTTCAATTGTTGAAATACTGCAATTTATGATGTCGTCTGAAGGATAATGTACCACAAGGTTCAATCAAGTTACTGGTGAACTGATAATTTATACTTATCCATAGTTTGTAGATATGGCTCTCCCTGACTTAAGGAGACTCGGCTTCCGGCTAACACAAAGCCGTAGGTGCAACGTCATTGGAACCTCTAAGCACAATGTATTATTGAACAACAGAAAAGGCTGATCTGTATATTCAGTCTAACTTAAAGTGGTATATTGTTTAGTAAAATGTTTACAGGGGTTCTTAACACCCGTCTGTCCTTAGTTTCTGTTGTTCCTACTGATATCTCAGTAAGATTCTTAAACAACTCTCTTTGTTGAATACAACCCTTCAATTTTTCCACTGAAATTGAGTTTCAGAATATTAAGTTGATTAGGCTGAATAGTCTTTTTCATTTTTTACGTTTTAGATGAAATATAGTGCTTCAAACTATTTTGAAATCTCAGTCGTCATAGTGTTGTTTTTACGGACTGAGTTTGCTAGTCTGGCTCCCAACCATCCCTATTCTCCTATCTTACTGGTGGTTAGTAAACTAAGTGAGCTTCAGTAGTGTGTCTGCAGGGAGTGGAGCCTTAGCCTCCCATGTGGCCAGCTGGTGTTCTTCGAATGAACCACCGTCCCACTTCGTTAACCAGGGAGCACTAGGTAACCGTTTCGTACCCGTTTGGGACTCTTCAGCAATGCGTATCCATATCGTCCTGGTTATATGGAAAGTCTTTTGATTATTCAACTAGTATGACGGACTGTCTAATGAACTTTTAAATCTTGTCAATTATTTCATTGTTGTTTTGTTGTTATTACAACTATTTTCTTTGTTATGTTTTTAGAGATTATTAGAAGAAACAACTACAGTTTTTGTTCACATATTTTATAATATACCGATTGTATATGTCAACAACACAAGGATTTATTAAAACCGTTATGGTTTTGCTGGAAAGTACTACTGGTTCTGGTCATTGTATCATTGGTTTTCGACCAAGATTAGCTAGTAATCGTAAAGAAAAGGTGGCATTTGATCCGCTTGTTCAACAAAATGTTCTATATCGTGAAGTACGCAAAATTCGTTCTTTGAAAAAAGCAGAACACTAATTTACCTGTATACATCTGTTTTTTGTGTATGGGTTTTTATTCCATTTAGCTGTGTGAGAATCAATTAGTAAATAAAATTTCCTTGATCCACAGACTCCTACTTTTACCTATCTTTGTGAGCATATACGTGTATGTGTGCATGCGTCCGTACGTCTGTAGGTGTATGCATGTGTGATAATAATTATTATTACATTGTTATTATTCCCTTGGGTTCCGAGTAGAACATAGGGCTTGAACAACACATCTCCACTTCTATTTTCAGCCATGCTATTCAGCTGGGTCGACGATTGTCCATAATTTCTCATCTCCTCCTCGCCACACGATCTCCTCCATGTCACCCTAGGACGACCCACTCTTCGCTTCCCATTTGGATTCCACTCGATGGCCTGGCGCGCGATTTCATTCGACGACCTCCTCAATGTATGCTCTATCCATCTCCATTTTCTCCTACAAATTTGTTGAGCGATTGGCTGTTGGTCGGTTTGTTCCCATAGTTTCTTGTTGCTTATTCTTTCTGGCTATTTGATCTTGAGTATGGAGCGAAGGCAGCTGTTGATGAAAGTTTGCAACCTGTTGGAAATCCTATTCGTGACACATAGTGCAAGTTTCTGACCCGTACAGAAGGACCGACTTGACATTGGTGTTGAAAATGCGAATCTTGTTGCTTATGCTGAATGTGAAAGATTTCCAAACTGGTTTCAGGTTGATGAAGGCGTATCTTGCCTTTCCAATTCTGACTTTGACATCTTCATCTGTCCCGCCCGCCTGTATTTGGTACGATGCTTCCCAGCTGGATAAGTGAAGGAGGTGACCTCTGTTAAATCTCTCCCGTTGGTTTTGACTGGTGCTGGCTTTTGTTGTTGCGGCTGCTGTTCGTTGGTTATCTTCATCACCTCCGTCTTCTCTATGTTGACCTGTATTCCTGTCTTCGCTGTCCGCCTCTTCAGCCAGTTTGTTAGTTTTCCCCTGTGAGTCTTCGAGTTTGTGCATCCTTTATTCTCTCCAGGATGATGTGACTCAGTATTTTACTTGGCGTGGGCAAGAGCATTATTCCACACCAGTTCTTGCAGACGCCTAGGTCGCCCTTCTTTGACAGTTTGACGAGGTAGCCTTTCTTCCAATCGGTAGGTAGCTTTCCTTCTTTCCATACCTTTTGCAATAATGGCGTGAGCACATCTGCAGCAGTCTCTGGGTTCGTTTTCCATGCTTCGGGGGGAATTCCATCTGGGCCTGCTGCCTTCCTGGACTTCAGTAGTTTGGTCGCGGTTGGGATTTCTGCTTTCGTTGGAGGATTGCTTTCCACTGGTAGATCTTTTCGTGCTGTTTTGGGTATTTCTGGGCGAGTTGCAGGCGATAGTCGAGTCAGGAGTCCTTTAAAGTGACCAACCCATTGTTTCATTTGTTTCTCCTCCTTGGTAACAAGGTTCCCTTGGCCATCTTTTATTATTTTTCATCATCTGGGTTGATCTCTTTCCGGATAGAGACCTGCTTATCTGATATACTGTTCTGAGGTATCTTTTACCTACGGCCTGTCTGTTGTGCTTCAGTTGCCAGTGCATCATAGAATTGTCTTTTGTTTTTCCTAGCACTCTTCTTCACTTCTTCATTCAGTACAGTGTACATTGAACTCAGCTTATCCTTCTGTTGTCCATCTTTGCATTGAGTCATCTTCTCTTTCACCATCCTTCTCTCTTCTGTTAGCTTCCAGGTAGCTGTCCGTTGAGAGCCTTTACTTGTCTCTTCTCTCCCCTTAGAACAGTTGTACACATTCCCTTGAACATCACCTTCAGAGAGCTGGTTCCAATGTTTTTCCACGCAGGATTCCTCAGGCATGCTACGTAGTGTATCTGACTTTTCTCTGATCAGATATGTATTGAGGTATCCATCGTATTTTCGTTTTTCAGTTTCTGAATGTTGAACATGCATTATAGTGGTCTGTGTCCAGTTGTTTTCATGGATTTCAGTTTCACGTCGAAGGTTCTTTGAACTAGATGATCGTCTGAGTCCACATCTCCTCCCCTTCTCGACTTGGTGCCCAGCAGGCTAGCTGCCACTCCACTTCCTTGAGAGGCAACATTGAGATGAAAACTCTGGTGTGTAGTATGTCTATCAGGCGAAATGCATGTGGCTTTTTGTATATCTTAATGCTTGTAAATACTGCCTCCGATTACCAAATCACAAAATGCGCAGAAGTCTGCGAGCAGTTCTTATTTGTTTCCCCGAGAGCCTCCTAACCTATGTTGAGTTCTCTTCTTGTATTATCAGGTCCCATTTTAGCATTCATATCACCTATAAGGATTTTGATGTCTCCATTTGGGATGTTGTCCATTACTGTTTGTTTGTCTGCGAAAATCTTCCTTCTCTTGTTCTGCGTTTTTTTAGTATTGTGCGTAGCACTGGATAATTATGTCCTTCCTCTTGAGTTGAATCTTGCTGTCATGATCCTGGATGAAATTGGTTCCCACTGCATTAGGGTTCTAGCCACCACTGGTGACATCATGATAGCCCCTCATTGCCTAAGTATGCTCGTGACTAGACCGGAGTAGATTGCTTACTCTTCAATTGACTTTTTTGATAGTCGACATTCATTCCGTCTGCTCTCTCAGATACCCAGCACTTCGTGGTCATATCTTCTCATTTCTTTGGCTACCTGGGCAGACTTTCCAGTCTCGTACATTCTAATTACATTCCACGTCCCCATTCTATCTATCTGTCTATCGTTGATTAGCATTCAACCTTGCGTATGTCGCAATTGTGGGGTCGGTCTATCTGTAATAGTTCACATTTGTCAAAATTAATTTTGATTCATAACTAAGATATTTCATATTATGAAAAGAAGTTTTTTAATAAAAGGTATGTTAAATTGAGTGTAATTCGCACTATCTTCTACGGTTTTGAATATTCTATACATCTTGGACATGGTTTTATTATAGTATAGATGTTTTGTACATACCATTACATTTAAGCCAACCACATGTGGTATTCTATATGAAGTAGCTCAATTCTATTAGCTCTCAAGATCAGTTGTCAATCAGATCTTAAATTATACACATATTGATTTCTTAAACATTAATCGAATTTTGCCACGATGATTATGGCCCACCTATTGTTGCAGCACACTGACTTGAGGTGATCCTTTTTTGTATGACTATTATAATTACAATTTGTCTCATTCGTCTGTGTTAAGATTCAACGAATACATTAGACCAAAAATGTCTCATCTCTACAGACTAGAAATATGACAATTAGATAATTGTCGCAGGACTTTGAAAAAATTCTTTGATATGGTTACTTGAGATATTTTAAAAACCTTGTTGTTACTCTGAAATGTTATTTCCACAACTGATGAATAAACTTTATAAAGTGTCATGTGATGTGATGTTTAATCAAGACGAATGAGAAACCGGTGTTTCATCGAAAAATTTCAACCAGTGTCGTATATAAAATAAGTTGTCGATTTCTGAAGGGTGTCATTACTTCACTGATCCAGCCATACTTAAATCAGCCTTTAACTTTCAGACAATATAAATTCCAGTTTCAAATCCCACTGCACCTACTTCAATACGGACAACCGCCTATCTGTATCACCACACAATGAGTGCGGTTTCTATGCTTGTAACCGAGGTCTAACAACAACAATAAACAACTTAATTTTTTACGAACATACAAAGAAAGTGATAAGTGTTTATTGATGTTACTGAAATGCTATAATTATTTTCTGCAGTACTCTACCAAGAACATACGGCGGAAAGGGCGAGATCATTGAACATTCAGCTGCTGGGACGGAGTAAAATGGTTTGTGAATTCTGACTACTTCCAGTGATGCGAACTTGTACGTCCTTGGTTGTATTCCCAGTAAGGACATTGGTGCCTACTTCTGAAGAGTCCCAAACGTGAGGCGAAATATCTGTCCAATATTCGTTGGTTTCTTCAATAGTTCGCGATGTAACTTAAAAGCTACTAAGTCCCTGGAAATCAGCGCCTGAAAATCTCAGTGGCAATAGAGAACTCGTCAAATTAGGTCATGAATAGGGTGGTGTAGGCAAAAGCAGGATGGATATATTCCAAGTTTATTAATCACTCCTTTTCTAAATAAATGAGAAACTTTTTCTGTGTTTCGCTATCCTTGGTTTGAGAATTTTAAAATGTATTACTGTTCTATGGAACCTCAATGTTTTTATTTCATTATATCTGATTTTTCGTGGTATGTTCTGTTTTAACTTCACCGAACACGATAATTTTTTTCTTTCATTCTGTCTTTTCTCCCTCTGTGTCGGTGTTTAGTGTGCGTACTAATGAAACAGTTGTGGGTTTAAGCCAACTCTTCTCCCCTTACTCTATATCTGCCAACCATTTGGCCCTATTTTTCGCCAAGTTTTCTTCATGATTACTAACGCTACATTCATAACAACTAGTAACCATCCCTGTACACCTGCTGCTGCATCTACAACGACCGCTACCATAACATTTACATCGACTAATACTAGTTCTGCTGCTACGGCTACTACTGCTACTAATAACAATAACAACAGTAATACAATAATAGGAAAATTAACAGATCGTGCAACCTACTTTGCTGTTGTTTCGGATACTTGTGCATTCAATCGTAATCTGTGCAAAAATCGATGTTCTCGAATACCATTTCTAGATTTAGCTACTCATATCTCACAACGACCTGCACCTTGGCTTCACCATACAAACAGGGAGTATTCAAGAGGTAAGAAAGATGTTATGCCTTTATTAATATGTCAATGTATTTTTCTTCCTTGTATATTGTTATGTATTAAAGGCTTCTAAGTGGTTTATTTTTTCAGTAGAATGTAGTAGCGCCAATCCTTGCCGGGATTCGAAGCTAAACTGCTTCAGTTTCATATAAGTTTACTTGATATAAAACAGTGATACAGTATTGATAATTGGATGACGTCTTGAACACAATTTATGATTTTGGAATTAGATGCTACCTGTCTTCCAACTAATTTAGGTTTTTCGGTAAGCATTCTAAAGCCATCTAGTAGTTCGCGTTCTTCAACTTTTGTAGTTGCACAATATATCGCAATCTTAATACTAAAATACTTAATGAAGTAGTGTGATAGTTTAATTGATGAGTGTTACGATCTATGTCACTCATTTATTATGTACGTGTCGTCAATTGATGTGATCGTGTCGACATTTGATATGTCCAAGTGGGCTTATGCATGGGTATAATATTACTGACTCAGTGAAAAACTCAACTGATATGCTAGGTACACCCATTCGTCCGTGGTACCTTCTGCTAAGTCACATAAATATCAGAAAACAAAGACTGTCCTTTGACCATCTGATAAGGATCACTGACTAATTTCTAATAAAAAGTTATTCATTTTGTGACAATCTGATTGACAAGTAACCGACATTGAAACAGTCAGATCATAATCATACTAAAGGAAATTAGCTTCATCAGAATGGGGCAAGTAAGTCATGTAAGAAGAAAGCAAACAGGAAAGGGGAAAGAACAGCACCTTGAGGAATATTAGCTAGAGTAAGTAAAGCAGTAAAGGACTTCGCACTGTAAACAGTGTACTGCTTGCTATTAGAAAAGTAGGAATGCCTACCAACTTGCCTGTGTCTCAGCAGGCAGGACTGTTCTTTGACTGTGAAGATACAATTTTATTATGAAAAAGCATGTCATATTTATATGTTTGTTTAAACCACACTAAAATTTGTCTAGGGCAGTGGAATTAGATTGTTCTGATTGACAGGTGATTCTGCTAAGGTGGGCGAAAAATAATTATTCTGATTGGTTGGCGATCTGACCAAAACTAAGGTGAGAAAAAGATGATGTAAATTTACTGTCATCTGACGACACGATGATTCATACGATAATTACTGTTTTAAGCCTATTCCTACCGATAAGACAATTTCATTGAGTATAACACGCATCAATTCACCGCCGATCATTGAGTCACAAGATTTGCAGCCTTGAGGCTGAGATGCGTGTTCTGACAAAGGAGTCATTGATGATGGGTATCCTGAACGCTTCATCACAAAATCCGTAAAGCCTGCACCACCACCGAAACCACACACAATTTTTCCTTTATGGAACCTTTCCATCTAGATCTTCAATTCAGTTGAAACTTATAGACAGAAACACTGAGGAACGCTTTGTGGGGTTCAGTGGGTGAAAATTTTAAGGATGAATTTCGACTCATCTTATCAATAAAATCAATGTTTTCAGTGTATGTGGAAAGTAAGTTACTGCTGCTGACCTTGTTGATCCTCATCTTTTACTTTACCTGATCCTGTTAAGCTGGATATATCTAAATACATTTCCTCAAGAAAGACCCTGTATTATCAACCCTGAGAAATGTTCATCCCACTTCATTGTCATACTTTAAAACACTTCGGATGGTCTTTCATCACATTTAGGTTAGGTCTATTGATTTAAGTATGTGACCTTCAGTCAACGGATTTTAGGTTCGAGTCCTACGTTGCCTACCTCAGTCTAATCAAATGACTGGTTAGTGTTACCTAGTCCTCACACAATAATTGTGTTGTTCATAGCTAATTGCCGAGTAAGTTAGTTCTAACCAACTTAGTTAACTATCTTTCAGCATTTCTTTGTTGCAAGTGATTAATTTAGAATTTCACTATTTTCCCCTTTTTTTTCAATTGTTCATATTCCTGTGTTAGGACCATCATCTAAAGATCCTCATGTTTTTTTGAGATATCCACGTTATCGATGGCATTTAGACTATCAGTCACCAAGTAAAAAGCGTAAAACAGCTAACCAGCGCTTGTGGTATACATTACAGAATGGTTTAAAAGCTCTTGGAATCCCACCTGATTTAGGTAAGTAATCTGCTCTTTGAATTGACAGGGTTGATAGGGAGACAAGTAAATATTCACTAAATTTACTGCTTATGCTCCTTAGGTAGTGGCGGTGGTGGTGTGATCAGTAGTGTAGTGTAAGCTGAATGCTTTTAAGACATTTGTTTTACAGTTTCGTAGGATTTGCATATACCTAACTATTTCTGAGTTATTGGCAGCTTTTATTTCGCTTATAGTTTTCTTTTTGCAAATAGCGTCTTACTTAAATTTCTTAGTCTCCAATTAATGAAATAATCAACTGATAAAAAAGATGCTGCCCATTATAAAATTTTAGATGATGGTTTGTGATCATCTAATGAAGAGTAGTTCTCTTTTTGGATAACTTCTTCTTCATCAGGTTCTACGGTGTTATTATTCAGGGTTATTGATTAAAAGAATACTTGTTATTGACAGTATGTTTTAAAAAATAATGTCGAATCATTTAAATTGAAATTCCAAGTGTTATATACGACGCTGTTATTGAATTACAGTTAGAAACCTGACTGACTGGTTTTAACGTAAAACTTTGCACAGATGTGCAGTAGTTCGAGTCGCCACACTTTACTTAGCAAACGAATCAAGAGAACAGAGTAAAAAGAGATTCAAAAGAGAGATAATAAACAGAAATATGAGGGAAAAAGAATAGTAATATGCAAGGACAATACAACTTTATTGGATATTATAAGTTACAAGGAGTGGATGCATCTGCGCCAGCCATTGAGAACCATTTTGAGCCATATCACCACTTGTCGCTGATCATCATTGGTTCTTACCACCCCGAGTACCCCAACCAGACAGGGAGTCTACACCTCCAGACGTGGCTCAGAACTAACTGGTATGGATTTCATTGATTGATGAAGCTGTTTTCATTTGACCACCACTAGCTTACTCTTTTCCAAGCTGATCAATCCTATCTCAGCTAACATTGACAATCGAGGAAAGCGATGGCTAGGCAGGTATGAGTGAAACATCTCCTAACCATTTCAGTCAACGTAACTTCACAATATTGTCGATTAAAGCTCTTACTAACTTAAACTTTCAGGTTATTAACGGCTTTTACAGCTGTGTCTACAGCTAACTGTATGTTTCGCCAGGTTTCCTCAGGAGGAGTCTTGCTGTCGACGTGAGATACTCGTTTTGCTATTTCTTCCTTAAATAGGGACTCAGAGTCTCGACCTAGTTGGGGACGTAACTGTTTCGCTGCTGTCAATTTCTTATGTCCGTTTAGTCGTAAGCATAAACGTGCGCGGACCAGAGCTTGATCCGAATCTACGCACTTGTTCCAGAAGGAGCAGCCGTCATCTGCCGACCCTCGCCAACGATACCGTATCGTTATATGGTCTATTTGCGTTTACCGTTGATTTGATGATGGAGGTTGCCAAGCTAGTTAATGTCTCTCTTTGTGCCTGAAGTTAGTGCTGACTAGGAACAGATGATTATTTAAAGAGAACTGTAGAAGACGATCACCGTTGTCGGTTCGCCGGCGGGGAACTCCGTAAGCACTGCCTTTATACCTTTTGGTCTGTCCTTAATGCTCTAATTGGGCATTGAAGTCGCCTGTTAAAACAACTATATCTGATCGTTTTACTTTTCGCAGCAAACTAGACAGTTTCTGGTAAAAGTCATCCTTTTATTCATCTGAACTGCAGTTTGTTAGGGCGTAAGCGTAGACTACGAAAAGACAACGAACATATATATGGTTGCAATGAATGCTCATGATTAGTGTTCACGTACAGAGTTGAATTCGTTTAAATTATAATCACTAGAAGAATCCTCGTTTGACTACGTAACTAAAAAGGAAGTAACTGTGCTGTTTATCATCATTCTCACAAAAATAATAATTTATATATATTAATTATTATTATATATTGTTGCTGGTTGTAGAGATGGCGTGTTATTTCTGGAGTGCAATTCTCTGTTTTTACAAAACTGTGACTAAATCAGAGAGTGTTATTATATCACACTTCGTGTAGATTTATCATTATTATCACTTCTATGGATCCGGCCTCACTAGCAGCGTTGATGAAATATCTTTTAATCTCCACTGTACTTCATGTATGGAGTACGCCACTATTATCTTGGACTGATAAGACCCTGGAAGGAGACCTAGAAATCGTAGATGATTTTCATCCCACAAACACGGGGATATATAAGCAAATACCAAAGGTCAGCAGAAATGGCGGCCAAAGTGGGTCTTCGGGTGAAGGTCAGAAGAGACAGTTGATGGAGATACCTAACTAACAACAGAAGAAGCACTTATCACCATTAGTGGTAGAAATCTAAAGGATAGCATCTGTTTCACTTCCTCAAGCATTTTCGTTTCAATTATACATGCGGGTAGCATGTTAAAGGTAGCCAGGCTTACTTTGAAATCAATGTGAGGGGATCTACATCACTTATCACAAAAATTAGATTCGAATTTTCGAGACTAATGTCTAGTCAATACTTTTTTATGGTTTAAAAACTTGCAGTACGTGACAGAAAAGGTTTTTCCAACCGACTACTGCTGACTTTCATCAATGCATCACTTCACTTGTACTGAATATTAATTGGCCAGTAAGAATTAACAGCAAAGAACTCTACCAAGGACGGAACCAGCCCAACAAATATGTAAGAGATAATGGAATTGCATTAGTCATACGCTTAGGAAGAATTCAAACGACATCACGCAGTGCATATCGCTGAGTGGGTGCTGAATATAAAGCTACAAGTTGGCTATCTGCGTATGTTATGGAGAAGATCTTATTATTAAGGAGCGAAAGCTTGTAGGTAGTGCTCGAATAAGCTGGAGGTGATTTGTGAACAGGCAACAGTGGTTGAGACCCTTCGTTTCACTTGGAACTTAAAGAATCAATAATAATAATCCTTCATAAACGATCTGTACTAAATGTTTGTCTTTATATAAGAAAGAGAAGTAGTAGTTACTGTAAGACAATCAGTTTTCAGTGTACGAATCGATAATAATCATCTTTTTGGATAAATCAAGCATAAGACATTGGTATTCTTTCTTTTAATTATAAGCAAACTAGTTCTACTTTATCGATTTGATTATTTATGTTGTTTTCATAAAACAGTTGTATTTAAAATCATCCTCGCCTCTTACACATCCGTGTGTTCAAATTATGAGTGTATCTGTTTAACTGGAGCGCTACTTGTGTTTAATGAACTGAACAATCTTTCGGTTTTTCTTCTTACTTGTTGTCTATGTGCATATCTGTACGTTTGACAATTCCCTTTATCAATTCCTTGTGTGTATGTCTTTGATATTGAACGTGATTTGTTCATACTGTTGCTGGTTCAGCTCAACCGGCATACAGCTCAGTTGCCTGGATCAGATTCACCATGTTTAGGACTGATAGCATTACCCACTTAGTCGTCCAGACTGAAGTAGTTGGAGAGGGATTCGAATTCTGTACCGATGTTGCTGAAAGTCAGTGAATTACAGTTCTACTCAATCTCCTTAATCATGGCAGTATTTAGAAATAATTAGTTTATCGGGATTCCAAGTTATATCACTACCTGCCTTCCGTCGGAACACTGGTGCTAACTGGGAGTTCTGGACAGCCGTTTCGTCGTCCTAGTTCGGAACACTTCAGCAATAGGAGCCCATAAACTGGAACCAGGGGTTGTCAAACTATGAGGCTAACGGTTTATGAATTCTAAATTCTCTCTCCACTTAAACGTGCACATAAATATCAACTGTGTGGCAAGTGTGCATTGATTGTGTTAGGCAGCTGGTGGTGATCTAGTTATTCTCTTCATAAAATAAACAAACGACAATTATCTTAACTGTTTTCTGTGAAAACTTAACTCCCTTATTCAATAGTCTCCTTATATATTTCTTTTTTGTAGTTCCTGTAGTCACTAGGCGAGCATACTCTATTGCTGGATTATCGATCCCAGCAAGTTTAGCTAACTACAGCTACACAGACGTGCATAATTCCCGTGTATCATCTGTCACTCATACAATAGGAATAAATAATAATAATAATAATTTGAACTCATCTGTTGGCATCGTTAGTCGCTCATTCAGTGGGACAGCAAATCCATCACAACGAAAACATGTTTATAATAATAATAATAATTATGGTGAATCTGAGTATCATGACACATTAACAGTACTGCATGAAGATGAAGATTATGATCATCGAAGTCAAGATAGTTCAGGCTTTTTAAATGGTGGTGGTGGTGGCCGTCTTGTCACCACCAGTGGTGGTGACGAAAGCACCCAATCATTCGATGGATTATATACATTGAATAAGCGTAATAAACCAAATTCTGATGATTTTATCTTATCTGATCGTAAAGACTTACACGATGATAGTCGTCAAAACATGAATCATAGCAATAGTAATAGGTATATCATGTCAAGTAAATCGGATTATTGTAGAACTTATGATTTGGACAATGTCTCTGAAGATTGTGATGAAAATGGTGAATGTGGTGAACTGGATGAAAATGATGGCGGAATCAGTGAAGGCATAAACGATGGTGATAATGACTGTGAGGATGTACAATGGTCTACGGGTAGTGGACGACGTCGTCGACTAGGAGGAAATAGGAATGCAGCCGGTGGAGTTGGTAATAGTACTATGAGTGACAGTGTGGTTGGCAGAAGAGGTAAAAATCGATCTTCGGTTTATTCTCTGAAAATGACTAAATTCAATCGCAAAATTGTCAATCAAAAAGGCAGTCGTTCATCTCAAAACTTTCCAGTGCTCAGTAATCGTTTAGGAGGGAGAAGGTTTGCAAAACGTCATCTTGGTCGACCATTTGCCGGTCGATTTCGAGTGAGTTGTTGTTATTATTATTATTGTGTTTTTTTAATGACGCAAAGATATACACTACTTTATGGAAATAACGCAAATATGACTACAGATTATACGTAACTAAATGGTTATCTCATATGACTAGTAAATTAATTTTAAGGTTCGAGAGCTGTATGTTCCGACTGGAAATGGTGTGCTGATAAAAATCCAACAACATGGTGACTATTATGCTAGGTTAAGATCTGGTTCACTGATCACATTGAAAACATTGACTTAGAATGTCTTTTTGTCCCAACACCTTGTATTAAAATATCTCACTGGTGTGATAATTGTTCCGTTGTTATCTATCTAACTAGTTGACTGATTTAGTGCGCTAGCGTCTATGACTACCGAATTCCTCGAAAAGTAGTATTCGTATTAGTGCGAACTCTTTGACATTATCAACCGAGCCTTGTCTTATCTGTTTTTGATTCAATTTTTTATTTTCCTGTTGATTGATTAAGCCGACATGTGTAACCTTCGTTAACACGTTATCACCTGGTACAAGCGCTTTGGCGATGACTGATGAATAAATCGATGTAATTTGGTAGACTGATGACTAGAAATGGATTACCTAGACACACATTTCGTCGTTCCCTTTAGAACTCGTCAGGTACATCCAGCTGAGGTGTCCAAAATAATAAATGATGCATGTGGTGTAGCAGATAACGTTTGAAACGTTTGGTTTGAGGCTGAATGGGTACATTATCATCCACTAAGGAATGCGGGCATATCGAACTGACGAAATGTGTATCCTGGATTCCATTACATGCATATAGTTTGTTCCAAATGAAACAGTTGATAAGAAGTTTCAATATATATATAACTTGTTACATGCCAATATTCACGTAATTTAGATTTACTTTTCTATATTTCCTTCCATTCTTTTAGACAAATGAATCTCACATGGATGATATGTCGTCGTATGCCTACGCCACCAAATGTAATCCTTCTGTAGGACGTCGTGGAGGTAGTCGAGCTATTACTCGTCTCGGTACAAGGCATATAGGTGATAGTTTAAAAACACTTCAACATTATGGAAGTATCAGAGAGAAAATGAATGATTGCAATGGTATGTGTATTGATTTTGTTGGTTTTTTATGTGTTTTTCTATTCCTGTACGTTCCCAGTGGAACATAGAGCTTTAATCTAGAGGCTTGAAGTTTCTTTAGCAGTGGTGCTTATTTTTACTGGATGGGGTTGCTAGCCTCATGCTCGACCTTCCCTCTTTACCAGTCTTATTACTGGCTTAGCGAGGTGAAGGAGTGCGTCAGCCGGGGAACGAACCCTGAATCACCTGCGTGGTTCGGGAGCACTCTACCGCTGTGCCACCGTTGCCATCGAGAAACAAACGACGGAAAATCAAACAGGCTTTAGACCGGGTAGAGGGTGCATAGATCATATCTTCACTCTCCGACAGATCCCAGAACATAGACACACTTTTCGGCGTCCAACAATTGCCATATTTCTTGACTTTAAGGTGGCCTTCGACTCCGTGGATCGAGAGGTACTATGGCAATGTTTGACTGTGAAGGGAGTGCCAAGAAAGTACATTGCACTAATCAAGGCACTCTACTCAAACTCATGTAGCTGTGTAAGGGCTTATGGGGAATTGTCATCTGAATTGATAACAACCAGTGGTGTCCGTCAAGGATGTCCACTTTCCCCATTCCTGTTTAACTTCATCATCATATGAACTTAACGACTTAGGAATCGACTTGTTACCAGGGAATAGTCTTATGGACTTAGAATATGCAGACGACATAGTCCTGTTAGGGGAGGATACTGACAAAATGCAGTCTTCTGAACACCTTGAGCAGCAATCTTCGTATGTTTGGCATGCGATTTGCCCCTGTAAAATGTAAGATGCTGCTACAGGACTGGGCTACGTCAACTCCTAGCTTAGTGATAGGGAGTGAAGTGATAGAACATGTTGACCACTTCACCTATTTGGGAAGTTGTATCAGCACCAACGGACTGATTGGCGACGAAATCTCAGCACGGATCCAAAAAGCTCGGGCTGCTGGAATTTTCAAAATGTGATATCGGTGGCCCAAATTTTGCTGTCCGACCACTGATATCAGGTGTGCGTCGGTCGAGATCAAACCTCGGACCATGTGCATGGCCGGCGAGAATCCTAACCGCTGTACCACATACTCAACGGACTCAAGCAATCCTACGAAGACAGTAATGAGTGGAAACCCATCCTCAACTCGGTGAGGCCAATTTTCACAGGCAGGCATAGAGTAAGCAACTGCGTGCACCGAAGCAATTTCGTCCCAACCTTTGACAACCAAACTGATGGAGTCATGACGGTGTCAGATGTGGTCCATGTTAGTGTATCCCATGCTCCCAATGACTCTGTGGTTAGATATTTCGTCCACCACATCTCCACCAGTCCTCACGCAACAACTTAGATACCACAAAAACCTGTCGATAACTTTATGCGGTGAGTACAGGTACAGGCTCCTACCAATTTTGCAGCAGCACTTTGCACTTGGACCGCTCAAAGTACATACCATGCTAATTGACACTGCCAACTGATGAAGTGCGATTCGGGCAGCCTAAATGCTGTCGCACGGCAAGACGACATTGTCTGCATACTCGGAGTCGTAATCTCTTTCTCCAGGAGGCAGACCTACACCTCCACCACCAAACACTTCTTTTATTGGTGTCTCCAGAATGAAATCGATGGGAAAGTTAAAGAGAAGTGGTGATACTGGACAACCCTGTTTAACCCTGAATGTTGGTTGAGAACAGTAGTGATAGCTAGGTATATGTCCTTACTGTACTTGAAGTGTTTCTGTATTGTGCTTTCAGTATATTAAGAAACTTCTCCGTAACACTTCCTTCTAAAAGGTAGTTCCAGTTCTGTCTAACTAATCGAATGCAGCACTTATATAACAATAATGCAGATGTTTTAGTTGTATTATTATCTCTCTGGATGTCAAAATGTTTGCTATTATTATTGAATTGATTATTCTGTTCATCATTCTCGACCATCCGTGCATTGTGGTAATGTCATTACAGGTGTGCTTATCTTTATATGTGCTGTATTCGTAGCTCAATAACTCGAACTTAATGCAGACATTATCTTTCAGTTACTGCGTAACGACAGAAGACAAAGGTCATGCAACAGATCATCTATTGAGAAAATGAAGAGATATTTATAGATTTTTATGTACATTATTGTCAGTGGGAAGGAACGTCTTCCGACTGGTTGTTTTCTTGCTGAAGGTCATTGTGTACTGCTTGTGACCGTTTCTTAGGAAGTAAAGCCATATATCTGCGAGTCGTGTTTGCACACGTTAAGTCTGTTGTGATTGGTCGGTGAGTTCCTCAGGGTTATTCCTTGTTATTGTTTTTTCTCATGACCCCGATTCGGGACGTAACATTGACGTAAATTGTTCACTACAACTTTTGGCTTGCAGCTAGCTCTCATCTCAACCATAATTAGTTAATATCAACACACCCGAAGTGGTTGATTAAAGTGAAGTTTGTGGCTAGATTTTATATTTTACTCATTCTAATGAACGATCATTGTTGTTGAGCGTGGTGACCACTTCATTTATTTCTCATGTTCCATCAATTCATGCGGACCGATTACTTATGAAATCTCCCTACAGATACAAAAGGCTAGTCATACATTTGCCCGCTTACGCATACATTATCTCTGGCCTACATGTGGTGTCCGGTTCTTTTTACCAAATGACGTGTTCAATGAGCAGCATTTTGTTGTCTTTAAGTAATTTTGTTTTTCATGGTCGTCGAAAGTAGAAGACTGCGTTTTCTTTCCCCTGTTTTCAGTGGTTATAAGTTATTTAGAAGTCAACTACCCACTGATGAGCTATAAGCTACACTTAATGTATGGGGGCTAATGATACTACCGAGTAGTTCAGGCTGAAGTTGATGGGGCGGGAGTCGGACCTAGATCCGTGGACAGGAAGTCGAGTGCGCCACTTCTCCACTTTGCCAATATGGTGAGTAACAGTAAGGTAGTGCGTAGAGTATTCAGTAAGAAGAGGAAGTCATTGGGTGAGATTGTGAAACTGCGTTCATTAAGATGGATTGCATACGTGTTACGCATTCCAGACCATCATCCTCGTCGTAAAGCAATGTTTACTGATATAGTATTAGGACTAAACAGAGTAAGGGATCGTTAAATCAAAACTTGATATCAATCCATGAAGACTTTGTCTGTTGGTCTGAGTCAGGCACTTGGAGAGTTGAAGATTATGTGGCTAGTTGTGTTGGTGTTAGGGCTGAAAATCGACGTCAACGGCGAATGCATTCACTGCTTACGGACTTTGAGGTCCATCACATTTTCGTTATCGTTATGCAGTTTTTGTTTCCGCAGTACATTTCTGTTCATTATAATTACCTCTTCTTGTTTCTTTCTAATTTATGTGTATGCTATACAGAGTTCCACATTGAAAACTAACTATTTTATTTAGAGTTGATAACATTTCCGTAACCTTTTAGTTCATTAATTTTCGTTTGTCCCACAACAAACTATCCATAGATTTTATGTTGGAGTACTGAGTAGGATATACAGAAACTCACTGTCATTAAATGGTAAGTCATCTATCATCCCGGTTACCAACTGTTTGATGACAAAATTTATGGTGTATTGAGCTCCATATCTCGAAAAACAAATTGGATGATATTTGCAAGAGACTTTAAACGCAGGTACTTTTGTGAAAAGGCTGGTATGGTGTACACACTGTTTCGATCGCTCCCTAGTAAAGTGTAGCAGAGTAGAGAAAAGACTTGGTAATGAACTTTTTTATTGAGGAAAAACACATCATATATAGCCACATATACGGTCGGATCCAGATTTGAGTAATAAACACTTCTACTTTTATGGTCACTAACTTAAAATTTGCTTTCAATTTTCGCTACTTTCTATCAATCTACGTCTATAAACTGCTGATAAATCTTGTCAGTAGCACCCGCCACACTCGTCCCCTTTTCTTGTTTTACGGTAAAATGATGAGTTTGAATTATTATTGATTCAAAACCATCCCAAATAACTAATTGGAGTGTTAGGTTGGTGTGGTGAAACTTGGAAAAGAACAAATAAAACATTTTCCTGAGGTCATATATGAAAATTAAAGACACTATAGTTTCAAATTTGACAGTAAAACTGCTACATTTCTTCAAGGCATCACTTTACTGTCAGATATTGTGAAATGTCACCACTGTAGCAGAGAAGTATAAATAACGAATTAATTTAAAATTTCTTTAAGCTAAAGGAAACACTGAAAATATTTCACTGTATTACGAAGTTTCTAGAGAACTTTGTAGGTACATGCATTCAGAAAATATTTCGTTTAGTTCATGAAATAGTTACAGATTTAAGAGCGGGAAGATTCATTGAATATAACCATGGTGTTTCTAATCTTTACAAAGCAGAAGTATTCAAGAGTGTTTGTAGAGAATGTTTGGCTATAGTCTATTCCCTAGATCTTACCTACTCCGTTATCCGTTGTATATCGATGAGAACTTCTTAAAGTGGTACTTAAAAACGGTAAGAGATTTTTGGTCAATTGTTACTGTGATTGATACACTATGCAGCCGATACAATATTACTGTATATAAACCTGTTCTGAGGGATTCCTAATAATTTGTTGATCACTTATGAATACTTTTCGACTTGATAATTGATACCTAGGCGGAAAAAAACATACATTTACACACCCTAACACTGAATTACTCTTTCTTAATAATAATAATAATGACTCTTTTAATATGTGAATGAAGCATTTTAAAATTACTGGGGTAATTAATTCATTTGTTGTAATGTAAATCAATAAAGCCTTGTAGTCACATGATCGCTAGTATCACTACAACCATTGTTAGCACGCTCTAATAAAGGTGACTGCTTTTTTGGGTGTGTCACCTCTTTTTTTCGTATTTTAAGCAGTCGAATTTTGCACAACTTATACACACTTTTTCAGAATTTCATGTTTATCTTTTTACTGTTAAAAAAGAGTTACATGAGTCCTTTGTGTGTGCATATGCGTGAATGCTTTTGTAAAAGTGTGTCATGTGTTGACCGTCGTTTTCTTAGTAATCCCATAGTGTTTCAATGGAGTTGAGTGATAACGTGCTCACCTCACAATGTGATGATGGTACTCAGTTCGTCCACCGGTGTATAGTCATCTGAAGATTCCCGAATTACGGTTACATAATTGACCTCTATTTATACAATGGTTCTTGGCCGTGGCTGATTAACAAAAACACGGCTTTCCACCATTGAATAATGGGTTTGAATCACCGCCCATTCTGTTTCAGCCTGGATTCTATCATCAACCCTCACACAATAGCTGTGTGAATTGTAGCCTGTAACGGGCGCAAGGCCTATTCCAAAAAACTACAATGAAACACGTTTGTGAAGCAGTTCATATGACTGACTGTATTTAAAGTCGGTCGTCTAAAATGAATAGTTTTTTGCATGAGTATTTCCACAATCACCTATATGTTTTTTTAATGCTATATCATCACCTAAAATATCAGGTGGATGAAGAAATAACCATTGAAAAATACAAAGTGAGTAGTTCATCCTAGTCTTTGAGACTCGCTATACCATGGACTGAATCTACGATATTCAAGTTATTATGATTATCATTGTTGATATTATCATTCTATTGGGTTCCGAGTGGAACATAGGGCTTAAAAAACACATCTCTACTTCTATTTTCTGCCATCCTATTCAGCTGGGTCAACGATTGTCCATAATTTCTCATCTCCTCCTCGCCACACGATCTCCTCCATGTCACCCTAGGACGACCCACTCTTCGCTTCCCATTTGGATTCCACTCGATGGCCTGGCGCGCGATTTCATTCGACGACCTCCTCAATGTATGCTCTATCCATCTCCATTTTCTCCTACAAATTTGTTGAGCGATTGGCTGTTGGTCGGTTTGTTCCCATAGTTTCTTGTTGCTTATTCTTTCTGGCTATTTGATCTTGAGTATGGAGCGAAGGCAGCTGTTGATGAAAGTTTGCAACCTGTTGGAAATCCTATTCGTGACACATAGTGCAAGTTTCTGACCCGTACAGAAGGACCGACTTGACATTGGTGTTGAAAATGCGAATCTTGTTGCTTATGCTGAATGTGAAAGATTTCCAAACTGGTTTCAGGTTGATGAAGGCGTATCTTACCTTTCCAATTCTGACTTTGACATCTTCATCTGTCCCGCCCGCCTGTATTTGGTACGATGCTTCCCAGCTGGATAAGTGAAGGAGGTGACCTCTGTTAAATCTCTCCCGTTGGTTTTGACTGGTGCTGGCTTTTGTTGTTGCGGCTGCTGTTCGTTGGTTATCTTCATCACCTCCGTCTTCTCTATGTTGACCTGTATTCCTGTCTTCGCTGTCCGCCTCTTCAGCCAGTTTGTTAGTTTTCCCCTGTGAGTCTTCGAGTTTGTGCATCCTTTATTCTCTCCAGGATGATGTGACTCAGTATTTTACTTGGCGTGGGCAAGAGCATTATTCCACACCAGTTCTTGCAGACGCCTAGGTCGCCCTTCTTTGACAGTTTGACGAGGTAGCCTTTCTTCCAATCGGTAGGTAGCTTTCCTTCTTTCCATACCTTTTGCAATAATGGCGTGAGCACATCTGCAGCAGTCTCTGGGTTCGTTTTCCATGCTTCGGGGGGAATTCCATCTGGGCCTGCTGCCTTCCCGCACTTCGGTATCTCGATTGCATTTAGTTTTTCAGCTTTCATGATTGGTTACTACTGGCAGTTATGTTCGGGTTATAAATCTTATAAATTCTTGATGACCTATATACACAACCATCGGGTGTTGATTTCTTTGGCGAGTATATGTCACAACAGTTGACTTGAGGGACTTGAACGTACTACTGTTGTGGGAGCTGGCTGGTAGCCAATTCGGTAGACTGTAATTTACGTCAATATTCACGTCTCCAACATTGGTCGTGAGATAAGACTGATTCAACAACCAACCACATCAGATTTTGTGTAGGCGGATACAGTTAGCATATAGATTATCTGACATTCAAGAAACAGCCACAAAGAGATGAAAGATTAACTTTCAGTGAGAAGCAACCAATCAGAAGACTTTTTCTGCTAACAATAATCTATAATATTGTACATGAAAATCTATAAATATCCTATGATTTCGTAAATAAACGATCTGTTGCGTGGCCCTCGTCTTCTGTTGTTACACTACTACTATTGACTATCTGTTTTTTCAATAGTTCTTTAAATAGGATATGTCAATTTGCGATCCTACATAAAGTCAGTGATAATTCTCTTACCTTCAAAGTTGTCATTATACAGCACATTCGAAGACTGATTTTGTTTTATGATCATACACTGTGTATATTTTTCTTTAAGCAGTCCTCCATATTTGACATTATATAATTATATAAATTTCAAAGCCTGAAAGAGACAGACGAGTAAGTGTAGAAGTGAGTTAAATATAAATGTGTTTTTTGTCTCCGTTTTTTATTTGTTTTTATATGTTTATACGTGTCATTAACTGTTTTCTTCAATGTTGAATATTAGTGTTATTCAAAGAAAATAATAATAATGTGATAGTGATAAATCAGAAACCCGAATTCTAATCCTATCCCATTCTTTATTTTCCGCCTTATCTTTATTCCCTTCATCATTTTGTTATATTGCAACTACAAAAAACAAACAAATACAAAAAGCAGAAGATGCTTGGGATGTTGTAGACAGTGAACCAGGTTTTCAATTGAATGCTCCATCGCTGGTACATGACAAGCGTGATTCTCAGTCCTTTGGTGATTGTAATTCTTCTAGTGATCGATTCAGTGCTTTAAATACTTATTCTGCTTCATCTCCATTTTCATCAACAAATTCATCATATCCTCCTACACTTCCGCCTCATCAACATCATCCTTCTTCTTCCTCCTCTTCCTTCATAAGCAACGATCGATCTTCATCGTCAATATATGAAGTTAACTTATCGAATCATTGTTATCCTGAGTGTAGTTCCCCTGTGTTGTTATCTCAGTCGAAATTCATTCGATCCTGTGCTACACCAATGAATTGGTCTAATATCTCATGTGCAAATCAGTCAAGTATGAGTACATTGTCTTCAGCATCAATTAATATGACTTCGTCATTATCAGTATCATCTTCATGTGTACCATCATCGTTGTCTCCAATGGATTCAAGTCAAACAGTGGAACAGTTAAACACGGGATGCTTACAGCGGCGTTCAGATCCTAATAATAATAATAATGAATATCTCATCCCTATCGGAGAATTTCATCGCGTTAATATGTCTAGGCAATCGAACAATAGTAGTAATAGTATCGATTCAATGAATCGATTCAGTTCACTTCCAGTGATTCCCGATAGTTCACATAATACAACATCTGGTATTAATAATAATAATAATAGCACTGTTAGTAATCTCACTTTCAGCAATAATGACACTAATAATAATAATAACAATAATAATAGTGATAACAATAATTTGATGGATACACCAAATAATAATAATATGATGATAAGGACATCAGATTTTAATAATACTTCGGATAAATCTAATAATAATAGTAATAATGGACGAGTAGTTGGTGATTTACAGACATTTGTCAATCCTCAGCAGACAACAGCTGTTGCTACTACAACAACAGTAACATTTTTTGTTTGTGAAGTGTGTTCATCGAGATACCGATCTACAGCTGGATTGCGCTATCATTATCATAGTCAACATTCAGGTTATACACCACAGAATCCAATATCTGCATCCGCCTCACGATTAGTTGTACCAATTGGTGAAGAAAGGGGTATCGGTGGTGGTCTACGCGGTGGACGACCAAGAAGACATAGGGGTAAGTGATAAAGAACTGATATGCTATGTATTCTCTTTTTTACATAATACCCTCTGTGCAACTACCTTAATCTGGTCCCACCACAAGCTCTTATTCGGCTAGTTTGCTGTGTACCAGAGTTCCTTGTTGTTTATCCTTGCCGACTGGCCTTCTTGTCTTCATCATAGAGTCAATGAAAGACAAACACGTGTAGGTTAACGTCTGTAGCAGCCTATTGGAAATGCTTTTGTTCACGCGGTATCCTGGTGTCCGAACCTTATGGGAGAAGCCATTGACTTGAGTTTAGTGTAGAAATTTTAAATATTTTTCCTTGTGCTTTTTGTTGTGTTGTCATAATTCACTTGGTCAGGAGTATTTTTAAGTGGACACCAGACTATGACCCCACGTAGTGTATGGATGGGGGTTGATATGATACTATTCGATCGCTGGGTGGGGATTCGAACGCGCAACCACTCGACTGAAATTCAAATACTTAAGTTAATAAACTACTTATGTAATTATAGACTAAGCTCACCGCAATTATTCGAAATGTTGCACCACTAGACCATAAAATATGAGAATTTTAAAATGTTTTAGTTATTCAAAGATATTTATGATAAGTTATTTTTTCGTCTGTCTGAAATCGGATTGGCACTGTTTATTAAACTGAGAAAAATTGTTTATCATAGGCAGGAGAATAAAAAAAGACAAAGTTGACTACAGGTTGACGGTGCTACCAACTATTTATAGTTTCCGTATTGTTAGCTTTTCGGGGCTGTTATACATACATCTTTAAAAAAATGTATATGGTCACCTACGTTGGCCTCACACTATAGAAAGTTGACTTTCTGTACAAACTTATGAAAATGATAGGCAGCAGTATGGGAAATTGCTGCTGCCCCTGGTGACCGTGCTTCTACATCAGATAAGGTGTTTTCAACTGTGGAGGCGTAATTTCTTCTTAATTAGCCATTAATAGTGAAGAATTATGCCGTGGATTTTCCACAACTGGTCTCGATTTCGAATTCTGCCTCACTTAGTTCAGCTTGGACATTTGATTAGTGTCTATCACCAGTCCTCATTGACAAAATACATTTTGGGCTAATAGCCTGACACTTGCAAAATATCTGTATTCAGTATTAAGCAAGCTAACACTGATACTATTATGAAGTCTTTCTCTGACATGATAAAAGTAAAACAGAAAAAGTCCGTATAACTGAAATCATTTTTTACACTTTGCTTTCTTAATGGGATATAGAACTGTGCATGCTTTGAAGTTTCACTAGCGGTGGTTTTGTTTTTCTGGAGTGGGGTCGCTAGCCTCATGCCCAACCTTCCTTCTCTTTTAGTCAGGAGGAAATGAATTGTTTCATTGTTAACTAGTTAGTTAGCCCTCAGAACAGATTTGTCGGTTACCATTCTTTTAGCTACATTTATAATGTGAAGGCCGATGATATTATCATACTTTTACCCGGGTTAAAGATGGTGAAGCCGGAATTAAACTAGGTACTAATTGGATTGAATATTTAGCACTTAAGCCAATCAACTAACTACTTAGTTGTTCATCACTTCATAAATCCTATTTATTGTATAAGATAACATAATAGTTATGGTGAAATGTAACATAAGAGTTTGTTTCTCATTCCACTTTGAACACACCAATTAATTTACTGACAGTCAAATTGTGACCACATGTGAATAATTCTTATTCCCGTTAGAATAATCAAATATATATATATATATATATATACATATAAGTTTGATATATTTGTGCCTATAAGTTTAATGATAGACATTTGATTCAATGGTCTAAGCTCGCAATTTGCAATCAGCTGAGTCAAAGGTTCCAACCTTGACTCACATTTTAGAAGTTTAAACAATCAGGTAGTATCATTGGCCCTCCATCACATGCAATAGATGTGGCACGTTGCCAACTGAATTGCAATGCAAATGGTAGTTAAATAATACTCTTCCTCCATACTCATCTAACGCTGACATACAGATAGACAAAATGCATTTACTGATTTCCTAACAGTTGAATCAGTGCTTCTATATGGTTCTTTGACTTGGCTCGTGTGTCACCAAAAGCCTTTTTAGCAGTCTACTGCAACATTTCCTTCATTTGATACGCGAGGTCAGACAACCAGAAAGAATAAGTATCAAGGAACTCTGGCAACAAACCAACCAAGAACCAATTGCCCCAACATATACGCTAATGAGATCAACTAGTTGAGTATCCGAGTGTTACACTAATGATACCATATGAAGAGAAAATGAAAGCTTTTGGGTAGCCAAATGAAGACTTCAAAAACCAGAGTGAAATGGTGATCTGCTGCCTGAAGCCTTACTTTCTTCTCGGAACCCATGAGAATGAAAATTTCTTGATAACTAGTGTCATCTATCAATAATTAGTCTGTGCAATAATTCATTTGGTTAATTATCAACTAGTTTAAAATACTATTTATTCTTTGTACACAACAACAATAAACAACTGGAAACAAAAAAGGCTCTACAGCTTCATCAAAATCTCGAGATAAATTGGTCAATTCACACTATCCTACTGATTATCAAGGATCAGCTGAACAAGAAGGAGGATCGACCAGTTTCTTGTCATCACATTATTCTAGTAAGTTGAATTCAATGTCAGGGTGTTTTTCGGTGTACTATTTTGTTACCTATGTTATGTCTTTCATCTGCTTCATTCATCATATATGTTATCGTCCAAAAGAAATATCTGTTGTCAGAATAAATGTTTATGCTCAGTGATTTCTTATTTAGTAAACGTGCTATGTTAACATATCTGGACTTCTACAGTCATATGATATCCGTCGAGTTTTGTTAATAAATGTTCTAAGTTTCATTTTTTTTCGCCTCAGCTCTAAACACCACGTCAAATAGCTTTTATTGTACTGTCATAACACTTTTTTTCTTACCTAGAATAACACTTTGTCTGGTCCAGGCATGCAACCTATAGGAGGCAGGATGAGTGAGTTAGCTAGCTAGTTGGTTATCTAAAGATTTGGCATATATTTCAGCATTGTTGATTAACCATACTATAAATAAAATGCTGAAACCATAATATATTATCTTTTATGAGGATGCTCTACCCGTTTAAATAGTTAACCGTGTTAATGTCTATCTATACCCTCTGTTAGAAGCAGTCGTGAAAAACAGACGTGTCTATGTATTTAAAATCGTATGACCCCTCAACAGTTATCTCGTGACACTTTGCTTTCCTTCTGAGTACTGTAATTGGGTCAATTTTCCACACAAAACATGTTCAGTCTTCCTACAAAGACTTAAGATTGATCCCAACCAATTTAAGAATTTACATACTCTCTAGCTTAGCATATTAGAATAACTAATCCTGTCAGAATAAACAGGGACCAGAGAGTAGACAGCAGTCGTCCTCCGGCTTGAGATCTTTCATTTGATGAGTCAAGGTAAAATTTAAAAACGTCAATGCATGAAGGTCTATATTTTTTATATTTTGATTATAGCTTGATTACACACAGTACTTTTGGTACAAGTATGGAATTTTCAAAATGTGATATCGGTGGCCCAAATTTTGCAGTCCGACCACTGATATCAGGTGTGCGTCGGTCGAGATCAAACCTCGGACCATGTGCATGGTCTCGAGAGTCCTAACCGCCATAAAGACTTCAGTTGTTGTTTCTATACCATGTTCTTACAAACTCAGAGTTACACAAAGCTTATTGCAGTTTCTTTATTACTGAAGTATACGAGACAATCATCGGCATAGTTGCTGTTCACTGAATTTGCTACATCTCTTTCATATTCACTACCTAGTGTTGCACAGTCATTGTTAATTAAACGTTTGTACAAAAGGAATGATATTACACCGAAGGGATGTGATATCATTTGCCACTCACTAGGTAGGCTCCTTCAAGATGTTATCGTTCGGTCATCAAAGGAAACACAGTTTACCTCACAGTCAACCTTTTAGACTTTGAGTTGCATGAATATCTCTGTCACATTCTGGTATAAGGCTACCGATTTGCTGTGAAGACGTAACAGTATACGGACTAAGTCTTCTGTAGTATCTAGATCTTGGTATGGTAATGCATTCAAAGAGTTACAAAGACAATCCGAAACCACCTTCACTTTACTTGGTTTTGGGTGAAGTAAATACCATTCAGGGCTGTAAATAGAATCAGGGTGTAATGGTGGAACCATCACTCTGTATTCGTTTGATACATAACCTTGAGTGAATTATCATGAAGTTATTTGTGGTACATGATACTACATTGAAAGCTGTCTATTCGTCGTCTAGCTCTGCCCGTAGCTACAAACAACAACGGATATTTCTGTTTTCCAATGTAAAGGGACGTCGAAATGACCTTGTTCAATACTCAGCTGCAAAAATCAAGTCGTTCATTGATAAAGATTAGTCACAGAAATGCACGTTAGAAAACTGGTGCATAGTGATGCAACTTTGCAAGGTAAATCGTACAACTCCTTCATCCTACATGCTGCACTCCGCTGGTCCAAAAACAACCCAGCATGGCCAAGTCTTCATGAAATAAGGTATTTTTCTTGCTACAACCTTTTGGTCTAATATCCATTGGCTTCAAACACGTTACACCTGACGAGCAGCGAAACTTCGGCACCATTTACTTCTGTTCAAGACACGTTTCTAAGATAAAACCATTTTATACCACTCTCCCTTGGTAGTCTTTCACTACAATAATCAGGTCAATGGACATGAGTTCACTCCCACAGTCCAATGGTTTAGTAATTAAACTGGCTACCATGATTCCACTAATTATTTGTATGGTAATCATTACACCCTCCAATGAAAATTCTAAGAAGAACATTTGAACCAGCTCTCTGAAGGTGATGTTCAAGGGAATGTGTACAACTGTTCTAAGGGGAGAGAAGAGACAAGTAAAGGCTCTCAACGGACAGCTACCTGGAAGCTAACAGAAGAGAGAAGGATGGTGAAAGAGAAGATGACTCAATGCAAAGATGGACAACAGAAGGATAAGCTGAGTTCAATGTACACTGTACTGAATGAAGAAGTGAAGAAGAGTGCTAGGAAAAACAAAAGACAATTCTATGATGCACTGGCAACTGAAGCACAACAGACAGGCCGTAGGTAAAAGATACCTCAGAACAGTATATCAGATAAGCAGGTCTCTATCCGGAAAGAGATCAACCCAGATGATGAAAAATAATAAAAGATGGCCAAGGGAACCTTGTTACCAAGGAGGAGAAACAAATGAAACAATGGGTTGGTCACTTTAAAGGACTCCTGACTCGACTATCGCCTGCAACTCGCCCAGAAATACCCAAAACAGCACGAAAAGATCTACCAGTGGAAAGCAATCCTCCAACGAAAGCAGAAATCCCAACCGCGACCAAACTACTGAAGTCCAGGAAGGCAGCAGGCCCAGATGGAATTCCCCCCGAAGCATGGAAAACGAACCCAGAGACTGCTGCAGATGTGCTCACGCCATTATTGCAAAAGGTATGGAAAGAAGGAAAGCTACCTACCGATTGGAAGAAAGGCTACCTCGTCAAACTGTCAAAGAAGGGCGACCTAGGCGTCTGCAAGAACTGGTGTGGAATAATGCTCTTGCCCACGCCAAGTAAAATACTGAGTCACATCATCCTGGAGAGAATAAAGGATGCACAAACTCGAAGACTCACAGGGGAAAACTAACAAACTGGCTGAAGAGGCGGACAGCGAAGACAGGAATACAGGTCAACATAGAGAAGACGGAGGTGATGAAGATAACCAACGAACAGCAGCCGCAACAACAAAAGCCAGCACCAGTCAAAACCAACGGGAGAGATTTAACAGAGGTCACCTCCTTCACTTATCCAGCTGGGAAGCATCGTACCAAATACAGGCGGGCGGGACAGATGAAGATGTCAAAGTCAGAATTGGAAAGGCAAGATACGCCTTCATCAACCTGAAACCAGTTTGGAAATCTTTCACATTCAGCATAAGCAACAAGATTCGCATTTTCAACACCAATGTCAAGTCGGTCCTTCTGTACGGGTCAGAAACTTGCACTATGTGTCACGAATAGGATTTCCAACAGGTTGCAAACTTTCATCAACAGCTGCCTTCGCTCCATACTCAAGATCAAATAGCCAGAAAGAATAAGCAACAAGAAACTATGGGAACAAACCGACCAACAGCCAATCGCTCAACAAATTTGTAGGAGAAAATGGAGATGGATAGAGCATACATTGAGGAGGTCGTCGAATGAAATCGCGCGCCAGGCCATCGAGTGGAATCCAAATGGGAAGCGAAGAGTGGGTCGTTCCAGGGTTAAATTTTCGATTAGCTGTCTCAGCGAATACCTATCTTAACACCTGATCACTATTCATGTCTTCCTAAAATTTCAGAAAGTTTATCTTTTAATCAGTGACCGACAAACAATGTATTAATGTTTAAGTGTTGATCTGTTTACTTTTTGTGGTTAATTAGTGGAACTCCTGCAAATCAAAGCACCAGACGATCGTCTGGCTTTTATGAGTTGGACGTCATCAGTGGTTAGTTTTATCTGAAAGTGCTGAATTAGTTCAGCTCTGACAGTTGATTCTGACTGACAACTTTTGACGAACTGACATACTTGATAGTCAAATTCGTGATTTTGAAATTTCACATCCTGTGAGGTGAGAAATCGTCACAACTTTCTCTGAATATGCAAATTATTCAGGTCAATAAATATGATCATAGATAGCGATCATGGAAGCAATTGAAACGGCATGATTACTGTATACTCCTGATTGATTGGTATAAGTATTGGAGAGCTATTCATGTCATAGGATACTTAAAATTTCTAGTTTCTTCCACCCTTTTTTTCACTTAATTTTCTTTTCTTTTTTCATATATAATGTTCAAGAAGTCCCTAGTCAATCTTCAAATGCCTATTCACCACCATCTCAAAGTAATAAACGCGGACAGAACACTGTTAATACAGTTAATCGGGTTGATTGTAAACCACTGACAGACTCTTCTAGGTCGATTGTTGAACCTAAACTAGTTGATTTAATCGCAAATCAGCCATCATCGAAATATAAGGAGGATATGCAACCGAATCATTACATCTCAACTGAGTCGAATGACTGCAATAATGGTAATAATCCTATTATGGATATCAATGAGTTAGACATCAATAGTATTAATTTCATGCGACCTGTGATTATCAGAAAGTCCTCAACTTCCAGGAATAATAATAATAAGGCTAGTGGGGATTGTTTATCTCAGTGTTCTCTATCCTCAGTGACTACACCCAGTTCATTAATTATGAATAGCGCCATGTCATCAAGATATCAAATGATGGACTATACTAATAGTTATAGTGGTGGTAATAGCAATAGTAATAGTGGCAGTGGGCTTGGTGCTAGTCACATACCACATTCGAATATTCCTCCTGTACAACAACAGCACAACAGTTCACATTTATCATCAATAAATTCTTCAGAAATGCATTTCAGTAATAATAATACTGCTGACACTACTGTCACCAATAATAGTAATAGTAGATGTCATCCACAGTTCCCCTATTCCTCTCATCCTCATTCTTATGCATCGCCAATGAAACCATCTCCACACAGCAACTGGAATTCCCAGCATCCTAGTTACAATCAATTATCCTATACCTCTTCTTCCGTGGTCTCCACCACTTCTAGTGTTCCGAGTAACTATAATTCGTTTCCCGCGCTGTCTCAACTACCAACACCACAACAACAGCACCCTTCAATAACATTTAATCGTATCAGTCCACAACAAAGACGTTATGAAAGACAAAACTGTCGTGATAGACGACTTGGTTTAGTACGGCCATCTGTTAACCCGTCAACTTCCTCAACCACATCTGCATTATCATCAGTTCCTATATGCGATTATTGTCTAGGCAGCGAGGCAATGAATCCACGTATAGGTCACTCAGAAGGTATGCTGCATTGTTCCCGATGTGGACATAATGGTCATTATACATGTCTACGCTTATCGCCGCACGTAATTGAAGCTGCTATACGTTATCCATGGCAGTGCATAGGATGTAAAACATGTTGGTTATGTGATCAAGGTGATCAAGAGGTACGTAATCAGAATTAATCTGCTTTATATTATGTATCTATGATTTGTTTTTATGATTTATTTGTTAAAAGTCGTCATTTAAAAGCAACCGTCTGCTGAGATTTCATATACTTTGAAGTTATGGTAACGATGGCGAGAAATCTAAAGGAAGTCTCTTCCACTGACTTAACCTAGGCAGCATTGTTTAAACTACAGGTGGCGGCACGGATACACATGTTGATGAAACCAGTCAGGATAGATAGGGTAAGCAAGACAGGCGTTTGTTACTCGCTGAAATCTGTGTTGAGGTCTACACTGTTCAACACAAAGAACAGGGTCTGAGTTTTTAACCTTTATGCCAAGTCCGTAGGTGTGTCTCTGTGGTCCAGAGATTGACGTGTTCAGCACCAGTAGCATTTCCAACAGGCTGCTGCAGACTTTCACATCAATAGAAGTTTTCTTCGCTGTCTCAGTAATGAAGATTAGATGGTTAGGAATAACAACGAAGCTTATGAAAAACATTGATTGTTGTTGATCAGTAAAATCCTTCATGTTGTTTGGTTTATGGGGTGGTCGGCAGTTTAAAGAACCATACATAATTCAGGATTTATCTCGGTCACAATAATTACATGGAGATGCTTCTCGGTAGGGTGGAATGAAAATAGTTTATTTTTCGAACTGTGAACATATTATTAGGTCTTTAGGTATTAAATTGAAGGAATTTGGATTTGTTTCATCGGTGATTGAGTCCAAAACATTCAGGTTACCAGGTAAGGCCCTTTGGTTGTCCAACCACTGAATTCAATCAGTCATGAATTCCAGCCTCCGCTGATTGTCAGAATATGAAGCGTCACCACCAACCAATATGGTGGACATGTTTATGTCCTCTAGTAAGAAATCATAGTCGAATGTGAGATCATTGTTTGACAATGGAGTTATACGTGTCACGAATATGTAGGAGTTAAAATCCTTTGGCCATTAGATTATCTCCCATTTGCTCGATGGTCAACGGTCTCATCTCGTAGCCGAAGTGTCGTGGATTGTATCCTCGGTAGGGTGATAGTATTTTCAACGAGTATAATGCGATTTTATTTTATTGATTTGGAATTTTCTTTTATAATTTAGGATCGTATGATATTTTGTTGGGATTGTGATCGTGTATTCCATGCACATTGTCTCCGATCACGTTTACCTCGTAGTCCTGATACCCACTGGACCTGTGATATATGCATGCATGAATTATACAACAGCAATAATAATAAGTTGTCTTTTGAACAACGTACACATTCAAATTCAGGATATGATCCGTATTCAAACAACAATAATAATGGTAACAACAGTAGTAGTCTGAATCAAATTCACAGTGTTGGAGGAGATGGATACTTTACCAGTGTACAGCATCATGCTCATAACATCCCTCGTTCATAAATGAACCAACTTTTTTCCCCCATTTTCCTTCTTTATTCTTATTTCTTCCCCCCCCCCCCCCCCCTCATACACACTTTTTGTGGTTTTATATTGCAATGTATACTTGCTCACTTCTTAAAACATTTATTGTTATTTTTTGGCTGTTGTAGCAATTTGTTTCTTCTTTTCTTGATCATGTATCTTTTCGGTTGACTATAAAATCATGCTTTTCCACAATGAGTATTATACTGATCGATATTCTGGATGTTAGTTAATTATTGGTCAATAATGAATGCAGTCTTTCACCACTAGTGATACGGCATTCATTGACTTTTTATGCCGAATTCATGTTATTCACCAACGAATTTTTCTTCTTGGTTTCTACTATGCGTGCATTTCTTCTCGTCTTGTAGTAGCTTTTTGTGTTGAACACCCACACAACCAGACACATACATATACACTAATTAATTATTTTTGCCGCCAGAAATCAACTGATGACTATTCACTAGGTTTGTGATCGTTTTCTCTTCTTTCTCTTTTTGGACCAAGTTAGGAATTGAATTCGCTCTCTCCCCCTCTCTGGTTTTGTCTATTTGAAACTGATGATTCTATTTACATCGTATATGGCAATTAGGGCTTCAAATTTGAAACCTATTCATTCGTTCATTCATACATACGTAAACTTTTAATACAATCAACGTTCCAATATTAGATATCTATAATAAAGAAGGTTGTACTTGTGCAATGAATTTTTGTTTGCGTTTTTTCTACATGGGCACAATAATTGCAAATATTCAGTGAATAAATAGTTCAATGTGGTCATAGAGCACTGACATGCATTCATACATAATTACTCTTCTGTTTTTCTGTGTTGTTGCCATTGCACTTGTTTTGCATATATATATATATATATATATATATATAGGTTTTAATTTTTTTCTCCACTGGTTTCTTTGCTTCCATGTTCCTCCTACCACTTCCACTTTTGTTCTTATTTTCATTGAGGGAGAAGTTCCTCAAGCTTACGTCTTTGGAATATACATACATATATATCCCATCCTTTCATTGTTCCCTCCGAGTTCTGTCATGACTATTATCGCAATGTTTTATATATATATATATATATATATATATATATATATATATATATATATACCATTGTGGTAAAACAATGCATATTAACATAAAATAGGAATAAAATGATAACAAGGAGTTCAAATCTTGACCGATTTCCGCCTAAAATAATGCGATCTATACGTTAAATAGCTTAAGACATGAAAACAATATATATATATATATATATATATATATATATCAAACAGGTATATCCTCTTAATATATTCATTATTGTCAAACTATCGCCTCCTTAATTAAAGACCAACAAATGGTGTCTGTTTTCCCTTCTGTTACCTTGTTTTCTCTCTATGCAAACTCTGCTTTCATTCGACATAATGAAGAGAAAAGCGTTTATTGTCGGTCTTTTTCCTTCGTTGTTCTTTTTAAGAAGAATTGACAAAAATACTTAAGAAGTATTCACGTAATAAAAAAATTTTAAATTATTGAATGCCGTTTCCTTTTCCTTCTACCACCTATTCCAACTCTTCAAGTTATCACGGTAAACAAGGTTATAAAGACTGAAGATGGCTTTCTTTGATGCATAAATCATCATCACATAACTTTTCTCAAGATGTGATTGGTTGAAATTTTCAACACCTCAGATTCCCTAACTAATTTTCATTTGCTTATTTAAGGATCCATTTGCACAATCATCAGATATAGCACTGAAGCCTTAATTCTCTCAATACTTTCCCTATTCTTTCGGTATCGCCTGATTTTCTCTGAACATCAGCCAGTAACTCAACCACGAAACAATACCGAAGACGTCACTCAATGTATGTATACATGCATATATATGACAGACACACGGTGTCAGTGTGCTCGTGGCTTTTTGTCATGACTTGAGTGAAAGTGTCCTCTGTAGATTGATCCTTCACTTGGTGAGTGTGGCTTCGAGCTGTATCTTGAAGCTTTCTTGCAGTAAATAGTCATGTAAGCCCACATCTGCTAGTCTTCTCCATCTTGTGTCCAGTCGGCTGTCTCCACACTCGTCAGATTGAGATGAAGTCTGTGTGAGTTTCGGTGGGTTGTTGTGCGTCGTCTGTGGAAATGTGAAAGCTTCACCGCCTTGTGGATATCATTGAGATTGTCATGTTGGAGGAGGAGACTGACTGACTCCCACTGTATGACAGCCTTCGATGCTGTTGTTGACAATATCCACATGTGTCATCTATGCATTCATGCATGCATGCATGGATGCATGCTTGCAAGTCTGCTTCCTGCATATATACATGCATCTATGTATATGACAGACACACGGTGTCAGTGTGCTCGTGGCTTTTTGTCATGACTTGAGTGAAAGTGTCCTCTGTAGATTGATCCTTCACTTGGTGAGTGTGGCTTCGAGCTGTATCTTGAAGCTCTCTTGCAGTAAATAGTCATGTAAGCCCACATCTGCTAGTCTTCTCCATCTTGTGTCCAGTCGGCTGTCTCCACACTCTTCAGATTGAGATGAAGTCTGTGTGAGTTTCGGTGGGTTGTTGTGCGTCGTCTGTGGAAATGTGAAAGCTTCACCGCCTTGTGGATATCATTGAGATTGTCATGTTGGAGGAGGAGACTGACTGACTCCCACTGTATGACAGCCTTCGATGCTGTTGTTGACAATATCCACATGTGTCATCTATGCATTCATGCATGCATGCATGGATGCATGCTTGCAAGTCTGCTTCCTGCATATATACATGCATCTATGTATATGACAGACACACGGTGTCAGTGTGCTCGTGGCTTTTTGTCATGACTTGAGTGAAAGTGTCCTCTGTAGATTGGTCCTTCACTTTGTGAGTGTGGCTTCGAGCTGTATCTTGAAGCTCTCTTGCAGTAAATAGTCATGTAAGCCCACATCTGCTAGTCTTCTCCATCTTGTGTCCAGTCGGCTGTCTCCACACTCGTCAGATTGAGATGAAGTCTGTGTGAGTTTCGGTGGGTTGTTGTGCGTCGTCTGTGGAAATGTGAAAGCTTCACCGCCTTGTGGATATCATTGTGATTGTCATGTTGGTGGAGGAGACTGACTGACTCCCACTGTATGACAGCCTTCGATGCTGTTGTTGACAATATCCACATGTGTCATCTATGCATTCATGCATGCATGCATGGATGCATGCTTGCAAGTCTGCTTCCTGCATATATACATGCATCTATGTATATGACAGACACACGGTGTCAGTGTGCTCGTGGCTTTTTGTCATGACTTGAGTGAAAGTGTCCTCTGTAGATTGATCCTTCACTTTGTGAGTGTGGCTTCGAGCTGTATCTTGAAGCTCTCCTGCAGTAAATAGTCATGTAAGCCCACATCTGCTAGTCTTCTCCATCTTGTGTCCAGTCGGCTGTCTCCACACTCGTCAGATTGAGATGAAGTCTGTGTGAGTTTCGGTGGGTTGTTGTGCGTCATCTGTGGAAATGTTGGAAGCTTCGCCGCCTTGTGGATATCTTTGTGATTGTCATGTTGGTGGAGGAGACTGACTGACTCCCACTGTATGACAGCCTTCGATGATGATGTTGACAATATCCACATGTGTCATCTATGCATTCATGCATGCATGCATGGATGCATGCTTGTAAGTCTGCTTCCTGCATATATACATGCATCTATGTATATGACAGACACACGGTGTCAGTGTGCTCGTGGCTTTTTGTCATGACTTGAGTGAAAGTGTCCTCTGTAGATTGATCCTTCACTTTGTGAGTGTGGCTTCGAGCTGTATCTTGAAGCTTTCTTGCAGTAAATAGTCATGTAAGCCCACATCTGCTAGTCTTCTCCATCTTGTGTCCAGTCGGCTGTCTCCACACTCGTCAGATTGAGATGAAGTCTGTGTGAGTTTCGGTGGGTTGTTGTGCGTCGTCTGTGGAAATGTGAAAGCTTCACCGCCTTGTGGATATCATTGAGATTGTCATGTTGGAGGAGGAGACTGACTAACTCCCACTGTATGACAGCCTTCGATGCTGTTGTTGACAATATCCACATGTGTCATCTATGCATTCATGCATGCATGCATGGATGCATGCTTGCAGGTCTGCTTCCTGCATATATACATGCATCTATGTATATGACAGACACACGGTGTCAGTGTGCTCGTGGCTTTTTGTCATGACTTGAGTGAAAGTGTCCTCTGTAGATTGATCCTTCACTTTGTGAGTGTGGCTTCGAGCTGTATCTTGAAGCTTTCTTGCAGTAAATAGTCATGTAAGCCCACATCTGCTAGTCTTCTCCATCTTGTGTCCAGTCGGCTGTCTCCACACTCTTCAGATTGAGATGAAGTCTGTGTGAGTTTCGGTGGGTTGTTGTGCGTCGTCTGTGGAAATGTGAAAGCTTCACCGCCTTGTGGATATCATTGAGATTGTCATGTTGGAGGAGGAGACTGACTAACTCCCACTGTATGAAAGCCTTCGATGCTGTTGTTGACAATATCCACATGTGTCATCTATGCATTCATGCATGCATGCATGGATGCATGCTTGTAAGTCTGCTTCCTGCATATATACATGCATCTATGTATATGACAGACACACGGTGTCAGTGTGCTCGTGGCGTTTTGTCATGACTTGAGTGAAAGTGTCCTCTGTAGATTGATCCTTCACTTTGTGAGTGTGGCTTCGAGCTGTATCTTGAAGCTTTCTTGCAGTAAATAGTCATGTAAGCCCACATCTGCTAGTCTTCTCCATCTTGTGTCCAGTCGGCTGTCTCCACACTCGTCAGATTGAGATGAAGTCTGTGTGAGTTTCGGTGGGTTGTTGTGCGTCGTCTGTGGAAATGTGAAAGCTTCACCGCCTTGTGGATATCATTGAGATTGTCATGTTGGAGGAG